AGTTACGTTTCATTCAGCGGACCTTTGGAAAACATTTATTGGTAAAAACTGCCTTTCTTTATCTAAATCAAAATGCAATAAGAAAATAAGAGCCCTGTTTCAGGAAGATTTTGTTACTGTACCTTATGTAATGTCATATTGGAATGGTTTTGTGAATGATATTTCCTGGAAGAAAGTTTGGACATTACCCCACAAATTTTTTATAACAAACAAAATAAGAGAAGTTACCTTTAAACTGATTCATAGATGCTATCCAGACAAGTGTAATCTTAAAAGACTTAAGAATGATATTAACACCAACTGTTCATTTTGCTTAGTGAATCCTGAGACGTCTGTTCATTTATTTTGGACTTGCCCTCATTCAATGTCATTTTGGTGTGATGTTCTTGATTTTATAAAAGTTTATGTGAAGGCAGATTTTGAATTTACATATAAGAATGTTATCTTTGGTTTCCATGATTGTGAAAAGGAAAATAATACCTATTTCATGAACCTTGTTTTTTTGTTGGCCAAATTTCATATTCACAAGAGCAAGTTTTGCAAGTGTAAACCTTTTTTCCCTAAATTTAAAATTGAAATGAAAATGTATTTTGAGTGTATTGAAGGATCAACCAACTTAAAAGCAATACGAACGAGGACTTTGATTAAGGACTTGGCACTTATCTTGGACTAATTAAAAACCCCTGGATTGTTGCTGTTTGATTCATGACATTTGTTGTTATTGTTTTTCAAGCATTCAATAAAAAAAAAAAAAAAAAAAAAAAAAAAAAAAATGAAGCTTACTGTAGGCGTGGTCAGCCGTCGCCATCTTGGAAGTGCGTCATTCCCGGATACTCGAAAATGGGCAGAGGCGGATCTTAGGCGGAGTTAAGATGACTGTTTGCTGAAACCATAGAGACCATCCCACCACCCGCGACATTTGAATCATTTGAACATCTCAGCGTACTATCGAGGTAAATTAACCTGAAACTACACAACAAAACTTAAAATAATAAATGTTGTTAATATTATTATGGCTCTCTGTGGCAAGCCGTTTTGACTTATTCTTAGGATATGCTTTATTGATTTCAACATTCAGCATTCATTATATTTCTTTCGTTTGAAATAACTGAATTGTTGATATCAACTATTTAATTGTTAACATCAAAAAGTATTCTTTATATACAATTCTTAAATTAAATATTTTTTTATATCAACAATTAACAGTTGTATGTTCAATGTTGGCAGTTGATATTGTTTACTGGTTGAAATGTGATAAGTAATGCTAGTAAAATGTGACTTGGGTTTATTTACTAACACAATAATGTATTTATTAATAATAGTTCAACATTTAGTAATCCATTTAATTTGAGCTTGTTAACATTATCTAAAGTATTGTGAGTATAACATTTATATTGGAACAAAAGTATTAGTTAATATTAATACACACACACACACACACACACACACATCTCTCCCGCGATTTATTCAAAAATTTACTCCCACACCGTAAGAAATCTGGCCGGCTCCCGCGGAACAGCAGTTATACCCGATAGGTCCCGAGTCCGACAGGTACATTTTGATTGACAGCTTTATACAGCCCAAACCCGTTCACAGCCTACATTAAAATGTGCTCATGCTCACAGCTCTAATGCATTTTTTTTAAGAATGAGTCATTTATATGTTTTAACATCATTTATTCGTAACAAGCGTAGACTATAGGCCACTTGAAAGTTGGAACAAAGAAATAAAATAAGTCCTACAGCTGTAACATCGTAACATCTCAGCGCTCTGGTCTAGGTACATGCACTTAGCCTTTAAATTATCCAACACACCAATGAAAAGTAATCTTGCTTAACAAATCAAATTAAAATAAACTCTAAATGATGACGGGTATTTTGGCAATAACGAAATTAAGATAAAGGCTGTGCAAGTTGTTTCTCCACTTCTCTTCACAATCTGGCATTAAGACGGCGGTGAAGCTGAATAATAAAAGAATAATGCCACCATTAGTCTGTATACTCTGTCTACATTATGATTATATGGTTTAATTAATATTTATTTATAATTTAAAAACCCTTTACGCACCAAGATTAGGCTACGTGTGTTTGTGGAGGAACATTATTAAATCCACAGGCTTTAGCGCAGTCTCTCACTCATGGTGCGTCCAGCAGCTGAACACCCTTTCCTGCGGCTACAGGTCGAGATGCAGAGTTCTTATCCGGCTGATTTTGCAAGTTTTTGGTAGGATTGTTTGTTCATCTTCTACGGAAGCGTAGAGCTGCCACCCAGGTAAAAAAAAGAGCTTTATCACGTTTGTACAATATACTTTTCACGTTCTTACAATATAATATCACGTTTGTACAATATAATATCACGTTTGTACAATATAATTTTACGTTTGTACAATATACTTTTCACGTTCTTACAATATAATATCACGTTTGTACAATATAATATTACGTTTGTACAATATACTTTTCACGTTCTTACAATATAGTATCACGTTTGTACAATATAATATCACGTTCTTACAATATAATATCACGTTTGTACAATATAATATCACGTTCTTACAATATAATATCACGTTTGTACAATATAGTATCACGTTTGTACAATATAATATTAAGTTTGTACAATATACTTTTCACGTTCTTACAATATAATATCACGTTTGTACAATATAATATCACGTTCTTACAATATAATATCACGTTTGTACAATATAATATCACGTTTGTACAATATAATATTACGTTTGTACAATATACTTTTCACGTTCTTACAATATAGTATCACGTTTGTACAATATAATATCACGTTCTTACAATATAATATCACGTTTGTACAATATAATATCACGTTCTTACAATATAATATCACGTTTGTACAATATAATATCACGTTTGTACAATATAATATTAAGTTTGTACAATATACTTTTCACGTTCTTACAATATAATATCACGTTTGTACAATATAATATCACGTTCTTACAATATAATATCACGTTTGTACAATATAATATCACGTTTGTACAATATAATTTTACGTTTGTACAATATACTTTTCACGTTCTTACAATATAATATCACGTTTGTACAATATAATATCACGTTCTTACAATATAATATCACGTTTGTACAATATAATATCACGTTTGTACAATATAATTTTACGTTTGTACAGTATACTTTTCACGTTCTTACAATATAGTATCACGTTTGTACAATATAATATCACGTTCTTACAATATAATATCACGTTTGTACAATATAATATCACGTTTGTACAATATACTTTTCACGTTCTTACAATATAATATCACGTTTGTACAATATAATATCACGTTTGTACAATATACTTTTCACGTTCCTACAATATAATATCACGTTTGTACAATATAATATCACGTTTGTACAATATTAGTAATCATTAAGCCAACTTTATTTTTGAAAAGCAGGCGCATATTACCGTTATCGTTTCAGATATCTTCTGGTTTAAGCCTGCAGCTAACATTACTCACAATATGAAGGATTTAATCCAGTAAATTTTAAAATAAAGTTCTAAATAATTAATTATTTAAGACATCATTGCATGCATTTATGTTTAACATTGTACTAGAATATCACTCACCGGAAAAAATGGAGACCCGTCTTGGACGGTCTGTTAGTACAATTAACTGCACAACAAGCCATATTATTTAATAAATGTAAGAAATAAAACCAACAAATTGAACAGACTGCATAAAACCATGTACAACTAAAGCACAAACACTGCAGAAGCCATATTCATTAGACGGAATTAGCAGACGTGACGCGACCACGCGGGCTAGCTGCAGCTGACAAACTGTCAATCACGGCTGTCACTCAAGTGACCACTCCCTTAATTATGCAAAAGAAAAAATCATTAATATAAACCAAACGAAAAAGTTATAAAAAAATTCACCCCCCTCAGAGTTGTCATGAAGGGTAACGCTAGCTATATGCACTAAAACCATCAAATGTACCAGGCTTTAAACATGTTTTTATCAGCTGTAAAAAAGGCCAATTTCCCATTGCAGTCAGAAATGACCTGCACTTCCTGGAGCCAGCCCCCCAAGGCGAGTCGATGAATTGCAGTTTTAGTTACTTCCGTATTGGCTTCACGAGGGAGAGCGGGATGTTGCCGCTTGATCTGGAGGAATAAAAATTCAAGGCCCTGAAAAAACTTTGAAAACAAGCATGCATAAATACAGGTCCTTGGAGGTTTTTTTGAAAAGATTTCCTATTATTCCCTCCTGCTTGCTTATTTTTATCTTTTTCACCAACACTTTTCGTTCTATGCATGCTAAATTGCATGATTCACATTAGCTATTTGTGTTTCGTGCATGATAAGGTACTTTTTGTTGTATGCTACCATGACATCCACACATACACAAAATAACTAAGATTTTGCAGACAACACTGAAAGGTAATACCCAGTGCTTAATATGTAAATGAACGATCCCGGAACAAAACCAGGAAATAAAAGTTACTGTCACTGATGTCCACCAAACAATTTCAGTTTTAACAGTGATAGTGCAAAAAGGAGCATCACATTTCTGAACAGTCTTTTAATAATATTTTGTGCCATATAACGTTAAATGTAAGTCATGGGTAAGAAAATCTTGTAGCTACAAACATAAAACTTAAGAAAATCTCTATTGAGTTCATTTCACTATTATGTGCCATGTACAACCAGAGTGGTTGTAAACATAAGAAAGCCGATTGGCTGAAAATATTGTTGAGGGCACAAACCACACAGCCTTTGCTTTGCCTTTGCTTATTCTCACTTTCACACGCACACATGCACAAATGTCTCCCACTGTCCCTACATGAATTTGAAGGTATTGGACCTGGAAGAGTCCTTAAAAGATACTTGAATTTTGAAGTCAACCAATGTGTGGGAACCCTGTTGTCATACTCACCCTTGTTGTCCTTTTGAATCTGAACCCTTATGCTAATGATAAACTTTACACATGCATTTCTCTCCCTCAGGGACACGATGTGGCGTGTGTTCACGGGAGCTCTTTCTGTGGAAGAAAAGGAGAAGGGCAGTCAGGTGCTCCAGGACCTGAGGGAGATCGAGTCATGGGTTTATCGGCTGCTGCGCTCACCGGTGCCTGTTGCAGGTCAGCGGCGTGTGGATGTGGAGGTCCTGCCCCATGAGCTGCAGCCTGCTCTGACATTTGCCCTTCCAGACCCGTCCCGCTTCAGCATCGTAGACTTCCCGCTCCACCTGCCACTGGAGCTGCTGGGAGTCGATGCCTGTCTGCAGGTCTTGGCCTGCATTCTGCTGGAGCACAAGGTACAGGTGGCCTGAGGAACACAAACAGGACTTTTACAGATGGGTTAGATCAATAGATTACCATATTTGTGGGCTGTTTTCATTAGAGCTGTGAATTCTGTGGTTATTTTAGGATGCATTATAATACTGATGTAAACGGAAAAAAAACTAAAAGTTTTCCAAATATCTGTATTCATGTAAATAGAGTTCATAAAATTTGAAGTAAACGTAAGCAGTTAGTTTGTAAATTTCCTTTTTTTATTTTTTAAATGTTTTTTTTTACATTACATTTTTGTATATTTTACTATATTTGTTCTAATGTTATTTGCATCTTTGTACACTTTACATAACAAATATAAAGAATAACAAGCCACTAATTGTGGGTTATGAATATAGTAATTATTATTAATAATAAAGGAACTTAAACGTCCAGAATAAAATGGTAAAAATATCATGGTACTGGCACTGAGCTATGGTTGGATGTTTCTAACTGTATACAGTTATTGCCTCATATTAGATATTTGATATTAAATAGTGCACATTAATTTCCTGTGTTTTTACATTTAGATTACATTTGCCATCATCTAATGCTCATTTAGACATCATCTTTAAAAGCATTTTTAAATGTAAGCTTTTGAAGATCTCCAAATGAATATCCATGTTTTGTATTGTGCAGCAGTATTATGTTGTGAAATTATGTAATTTAAAACGTCTATATTGATAATTTATCAATAAAATAATTACCAGCCAGATATTTAATACTGGTGTATATATATATATATATATATATATATATATATATATATATATATATATATATATATATATATATATATATATATAGTAAGTTCGATTCGATAAGTTTATTTGTAGCACTAAAAGTCTTTCACTTCAAAATTTTTTATTGACGAAGTAGAACGTGCTTTTAAAAAATACACCACTGCTGTGTCAAAGATTAGTTTAATGTTCGTCTGTAGGTCTGCTTGTTCAAGCAGAGCTATTCTTCATTGCTTTGCCTATGTGGGTCACACTGACATTAACAAGGAGACTTCCTCTCACCCTCTTCTGTGTGCAGGTGGTACTGCAGTCTCGAGATTATAACGCTCTCTCAATGAGCGTCATGGCGTTTGTTTCGATGATTTACCCTCTTGAGTACATGTTTCCTGTCATTCCACTGTTGCCCACCTGCATGGCCTCTGCAGAACAGGTAAATGACGCATCATCTCTTTTCAGTCATTTAGTCACGTCAGTATATATGCAGTATGTACAAAAAGCTCTTCTTATTTCCTTCTGACACATCTTTCTTCTTTCTAGCTCCTATTAGCACCCACTCCATACGTCATTGGTGTGCCAGCCAGTTTCTTCTTGTACAAGTGTGATTTTAAGATGCCTGATGATGTTTGGTTAGTGGATCTGGACTGCAACAAGGTATAATCATCCATCTGAACTTATGAGGCTTATGATGGTATCAAATTGTGTGTTGAGATTGGTTGCTGAAGTTTTTAAACAGCATTATACAGTATTTTTACGCTACTGGCCTAAGCTGCAAATACTTCGTGTATTGCTTTATTGCATTTACATGTTCAGAGTAAACAAATGTCTCAACCAAATTAAATTGCAAAAATATTGTTAAGTAAAATTGGTAATACTTTACAAAAAAATCTCTTTAGCAAATGTCAGTGTATGTATTTATGAATTGAATCAATCAATAATAATAATAATAAATTTTTTTTGTATAGCGCTTTTCCTACATGCATGCAACTCAAAGCGCTTCACAAACAACAAACAAGCATTGTAAAATAAACCAAATAAAAAATGTATAGACAAAGCAAAATAAACAACAAATATATACTCAGATAAAAGCATACATGTACACACATATATGCATATATATACACAATAACACACACAATAGTCCTTACACACAGTATGCATAATTATACACACATCGTACATGCATAGTGAGATGAAAAGCCAGAATTATCGCAGCTACTATGTTAATATTAGTAAAAAGGAAAATACAACTAAACTTCACTAGTTATACTGTAGCTAGTTATAGCCGATTTTCTTTTGATCTTTATCTATTTAAATAACCAAATGAATCTTTAAGCATTTGGTGCTATTATGAACCACTGTAAATAAATTATTTGCTCTACAGTGTTTGGACTTTCAAGAGTGAAATTTAAACCAAACTAAACTGTGAAAACTGGACTGACACAGATTTAGTTTACTATAATTTTCTATGTTAGCCTGCTTTGAAGAAATCTACATTGTAAAAGCTCTATAGAAATAAGGATGAATTTAATTAATTTTAAAATATTATTTAGTGGTGGTCTTTATCATTATCCCTGTAGGTTATTGTTCCAAGCAATGCAGAACTGCTCCCACCCTTACCTGAACCTGAGGCCTCTGAGCTGAAGAAACACTTGAAGCAGGTAAATGCAGCAGATGTTCTCATTTCTCTAAGGAGCCCTACCATTAACTGTGCATGTGAAGCGATCGCTAACTGGATTCCAGAAGCTATGCATAGTAATTATACTGTTGTCTTAACAGATGCTGTAAACATTGCTAATTATAATAGTGCAGTTGAACCAAAGAGAGGGCTGACAATGCAAAGATATTTTAAGGACTATCGTTTAAAGCCAAATGCAGACAGAACATGACAAGTTTAATGTTGTCTGATACTTATTTTAGATGATCACTTATGTACTGTAATGACCATATATTCTCCCCCTTTTTTTGTTCCAGCTCTTGGAGGTAATAAGTTTTGAGTTTCCCCATCTATAGTCTCAATAATGGTTCTAGTTCTCTCGCTTAACCCTTTACAATCCCACATAGACCCTTATTTAGAGCTTCTGATTCTAAGCACCTCTGAGCTTAATCAAACCCCCTTAACATCAACTGTTGGAACATTTCACTGTGTTGCCATCAATCACTGTCATATACTGACCTTCCTCATGTCTTTTTAATGGAGACGCATTTGATAGCAATCTGTTGTTTTTGCTAGTCGGCTGCAGAATTTCTCAGCCAAATCGATTTAACGTTTTTCATCTTTCATCAAACATAATTATCATGCTGTCATTGTAATAACTCAAGCCAAAATAGTCAATGCACTGAATCATCAGTTGTGTCTTACAGACTGTGAGTCATCACTCTTGGTTCGCCATGATGAATCACTGTGAATCAGGTGCTCATCTTCAGATCATGATTGTTCTGAAACCTGATTTAAATGGAAGGTCATCGTTTTCAATTGTGTACACATGTACGGTGTTGCCCTATCATGCAGACACACATTGGATCAAGAACTTCATGAGCCAATATGGAAATTGATGCTTTTCTGAACGGCATTCAGTGTTGTTTCTCACTCAGTTGAGCATCAAATTTCAAGGAATATTTTGTTTAACATCTTTAACGTCAAAGTAAAATTCTTTCTGCTCACTTTCATAATTCATTTTCATGGTCTCAATCTACTCCATCATTATTAAGGAAAAAAAAACTTCGCAATATGTTCCCCAAATCTTCGCCTCCACTTCTTGAATAACTTGTCTTTTTGGGTGAAATTACCAAAAAGAATATCTCGTTTCACTTTCCGTTTCCGTTTTTATTTTATATTAATGAAGTATGTGTTAAATAGGCTGAGAATGGAATTTTACGTTGACTAAAATCTACCAAATAATGTTTAGATTTGAGTTTTATACAAATTCTCCAATGAAAGTTTTGTATGAGATCTGCTTCTTTGTCTACATTCATTACCCACTTGTATCTTAAAGGTGCAGTATGTTAGATTAACACCTAGGGGTTGAACCAAGTATTGTAGTACACATTCAAAATATTGGATTTTTTTTTCATCCAACCAGATTGACAACTTCAACAGAAACAAGCCAAAAGCTACATTAAATACACGTTAGTAGATTACAAGTCATTACAAATATGCACACATGAGCCTTTTTTCTCCAAACGGTGCAAATGAAGTAAAATGTACAATGCCTTATTTCACAATTTCAAATCATTTAACTCGAGTGGATTTTTTTTTTTTTGTGGGGGGTCTAAAAAAGTTTTTAAAAGACTTAAATCTACTGAAATGTTGTGTATATGTCTTAAATCTTTTTTTAACAGGTCTTAATTTTTCTTTATTCATCTAAAGCTAACAAATCTGGCCATCAACACCTATACAATCACCAACAATCCCAATCTCAATTAAACTTAACTTTTTTTTTTAAATAGCATTTAATTAATTTCCATACAGTAACATTTACTTAAAAGTTCTCCATTTATTTGCTGTTCAGAATACTGATCTGACCTATTTTTTATTATTAAACTATTATTATAATTGTAAACTGAAGTAATTGACAGCTATTTATTTATATATAGTTTTGTTCTATTTTTGGTAAGGGTTATAACATTTGTGAATTGTTGTATTTGAAAAATTAAAAAAATATATATTTTTAGTTAATTATTTTTAATCATTTTTGATAGGGCTAGTGAAAAAGGTTTCCTACTGAGTTATAAAACAAACCTTAGCATTTAGCCCTGTACAAGTCTAAAATTTAATTCATAATAGTACTAAAAAATGTCTTTAAGTATTAAATTTAACTTGGTGAAACCTGCAGAAACCCTGAAACTAGATCTAGTGATGCAGTGATCCATGTTTGGTCCCTGCATTACACTGTAAGCTGCTCTGATGATGTGTACTCCTTACTTCTCTATGTCTCTTTTTGGAGGCTGTTGCTGTCTTGCATTGAGGCAGTCTTCATGACTATAATGAAATGTGCCGTGTTTTCCACCAAGGAAACCTGGAGTGCTGAAATACAATTGGGTAAACTGCAGGTTCCACAGACCAAAACAAATACATACATTTCAAAACGGAACGCACATTATCAAAGGAGAAAAACCATCATTGTTTTTCAGATAAACAAATATGTTTGCTTAGCATTAAATATCTGCAAACCTATTGTGGTACTCTTATGCGTGAGTAGAGTCAAAATCTTGCATACAGCATCTTTAAGATTGTTTTTTTTTAATTCCCTGCACTCATTCAGTCCACTTCATGATGTATATTGTTGTTTGTGTCTTTCTATTTGTCTTTCTGTGGTTTCTCTCCTTCCTTGAATTGTCTCTGCTCACTTTTAGTCACATGATCTCCTTATCTGTGTGACAGGTAGTCATGTGACATTTCCTCCATGTTCTCTTGTGTCCTTCAGTGTCTGGTAAGGTTGACTCTGATCACCCAAAAGCAGATCTTCGCCTCCGATTCTAAGGTTTACAAATCTTTGCATTTTGAATGTGCACGGAAAAAATAACTCTCCCCCTGGTCCCCTGCAGCCCTACTCAGACACTTTCTGTAACCAAAACGTACAGATACTTCTTTATTCCACACCCTTTGAATAAACACACTCTGTTTGCCTCCATAGCCTCTAACTCTCTTCTCTCTTTCTGCCTTTATATCTGTGTAATGAAGGTCTGACAGAAGCCCCATGTTTCTCATAACACTATGTTTGGCTTGAGCATGTTCCAATGCAACTTCTCATTTACATTTATGCTCATTAACGCAAAGCAAAAAATGACTGCAAGCCACAGGAGCCGATGATACGATTTGTTTGGTGCTGGCCAAATGGTGTGGCGAGCACAGGGACTGATGGAATGCCAGCTAAGAGGCATTGAGTGAGCAATGGCAAAATTCCCAGAGTGCTTTGTTAATGGCTCTGTGTGATGACCACACCCTTCCCTCTAACATTTTAACTATTAAATCTTATATGTAGCACTGTCACTTCAGGCAATAGGTTTATTTCAATATGCTATATAACATTTTAGTGTACGTTTGCCCAAAAATGAATTTTCAGTCATCAGTTATTTACCCTCATGTTATTCAAAACCCATATTTCATCTTCTAGATACAAATTAATCTAATATTTGAAAAGCATAAGGAATTTCAGTCCTCCATTTAAAGGCCCATTCTAGCAAAATGCATCATTAAGTTCATAATTACATTGTAAATGCAATCAATGTGATTCATCTGAGTCATGATTGCTTATGTTATGAACTGAATAAATTTGCTCGCATGTAAATATTGATTAATTTTTGTGTGTTATATTTGATGTGCTCTATTATTGTGCATTAATCAGTGTTTATAATGCAAATAAAACCTTAAATTAAATCGGAAATGAAAAGATAATGGTTTTGGATCTACATACGGATGAGTAAATGAATTTTCAATTTTGGGAAAAACATCCCTTTTATTTAACTACATAACTGCAATTAAATTAAAACATTGACTTTGCATTCACCATTGCCATTTGGTCGATTTTCAGACAGAAGCTTATGAAGCTAGATATGATTGCCTAAGGCGACAGTGCTCTTTGTTCAGTCTTCCCTGTCAGGATTCACGGTTAAAATGATCTCTCCTGTATCTATTTTCCTCCTCCACCTCTCTGTTGTCATCTACTTGTCTATGCAGGCTCTGGCTAGCATGAGTCTAAACACACAGCCTATTCTGAACCTGGAGAAGTTTCAGGATGGACAGGAGTTGTCTTTATTGCCCCCCGGTCGTGACAAAGCTTCCCCGTCCTCCACTGAGTTCAACCCACTCATCTACGGCAATGATGTGGACTCAGTTGATGTTGCCACAAGGTATGAAGTATTGTATGTCCAGCCTGACTGGCCAGTAGAGCAGCTCTGTTTAATAATGTGTAGAGTGTATCACACGCAAAAAAAAGTATGATTATTTTCTAGATGAGGAAAGGACAGAAGTCATAGCATAATTTAAAGCCTTTCATATTTGTATTTTTGAACAATCAGTAAATCTGATTTACTAACTGTGCATACACACATCTGCTACTGTGAATTAAGCAGACTTTTTTTATGGAATATCCTCCTTCCGTACTGTGTAAACATGAATAATCCACTGATTATCAGTCAATGGGACCCATTGTTTTCGCTAGTGGTGCAGAAAGAACAAAATGTAAACCATTAAAAAAATGTTTGTTCCGCTCTTTAAGAACATTATAATAATGTTATTATTATGATCTCGCCGTTAGGGTGGCAATGGTGAGGTTCTTCAACTCTCCAAACGTGCTGCAAGGGTTCCAGATGCACACACGCACTCTCCGTCTCTTCCCTCGTCCTGTGGTGGCCTTTCAGTCCACATCTTTCCTGGCTTCTAGGCCACGACGAAATGGATTCACAGAAAAGCTCTCCCACACTCAGGCAGTGGAGTACTATGGAGAATGGGCTCTCAACCCCACCAACCTGGCTTTCCAAAGGATTCATAACAGTAAGAGACATAGATTTATTTCATCCGTTCATCTTTAATACCCCTTTTCTGTAAACCCCTTTCATGTTTGACTGTCACAGTTCTCCCCCTAGTGGCAGTTTCAATGATTTTTCATGTTTTGTTTCTTAATGAACCAATAATAAGAGCATTTTTATTTATTTATTAAGGAGTAAATGAATAATAGTTTTAAAACACCCTTCTGAAGCTGAACTGAAATCTGTATGCAGAATTTGATGTCTGCACCCAGCCCCTTCTTTAGTTTGACCATTGTACAGGCAGATTCGCACTTGTCTGGATATACAGTTTCAATCTATGGACTGTCCATTATGTACTTCCCATTTTGTGTGTAGCCAGTAATGACACTGTGTGTGTTTTTCAGATGTGTATGACCCCTCTCTAATAGGCGATAAGCCTAAGTGGTATGCCCACCAGTTACAGCCAGTATTCTACCGCGTGTATGATGGAAACTCTCATTTAGCGGAGGCCTTGAGTGGACCCCTGCAGGATGAGACCAATGATTCAGACCCAACAGACGACAGGTTGAAAACACTACTTGCAGTGCTCACTAACATGCATAGACATTCACAGAAAGTCATGTAAACGCTATTGATTATTTTATTTACAAAACAAATCAAAAGCTTATAGACCGTTTTGACAAATTGTTTTTTACTTTTACTCAACATTAATGTATTTAAAATGATCAAAAATGAAAATTAAGACATTGTAGTGTTACAGATATGCTTTCGGTTTCAAATAAATTCTTTTTGAAATATATGGACAATTAAAACATTATATTTGTACTTTATTTTTGATCAAATAAACTGCCTTTAATAAAATAAGAGACTTCCTTTACAAACCATTGAAAGATAGTATATAATGTACATGCAGTTTTCTGTTTAATCCCCTTCAATTTGATTTATTGGTTTACATTTTTTATTTTAGTGGCAGCGACAGTGAAGCATATGATGACTCCAGCTCCTCCTACTCATCTCTTGGAGATTTTGTGAATGAGATGATCAAAGGGGACATACAGGGAGACACACCAAGTTAGCATCTCCAGTTTTCATCTCTCATTATTAGAGTGATAAAACTTGTTCAAATTCCTTCGATTCGAGAGTTTAAGCATAATAATACTTTTGTTTCCTTTCTTTAGATGTTGATCCCCTGACCCATGCTGCACTGGGAGATGCAGATGAGGTTGAGATCCATGACTTTCACGAGTATAAGGGGAACAGCGGTGAACCAGAGCCAGAAGGCCCCACAGAAGCAGCGGACAGTCAGCCCTTGCGGTCCAGCTCTAGCACCACAGCCAGTTCCAGCCCCAGTACAGTCATACAGGGAGTCAACCATGTCAGTGCTAAAACTAAATATGTTGTCTGAATATAGTGCAAGGCCAATGTTTTTGTTGCCTGAAGTATGTGTTGTTGTCTTTTTTATTCAAACAGGAGCAGAAGGAACCTGTTGAGGTGGAGCCCATAGCAAATGTGACTTACCCAAGCTCTGCCCCAGTATTGGGTCCTCCTCCTTTTACAAGACCCACCCCTGATCCAACCCTTGTTGACCCTGCCAATAAGAAGCGAGAATATGACAACCCCTATTTTGAGCCCCAGTACGGTTTCCCTACAGAGGAAGATGCTGAGACTGATGAGCAGGAGGAGAGTTACACACCACGATTTAACCAGAATCTCAATGGCAATAAGTATGTACTCAGTCATTAACTGGACGTCGTTCAACATAAATCTCAGCTGCACATACCAGCACTCAACGTCCTCTCAAAAATTGTGTGTGTGTGTGATTAGGCCTTCTCGTCCACTGAGACCCAGCAGCCTGAAGCTTCCGGGTGAATCTGACGGAGAGGGAGACTCCAGAAATAGCTCTCCTAACTCAACCATCTCCAACAATAGCAGTGATGGCTTTGGGGGACTCATGTCCTTTGCCAGTGAGTGGCCAGTTTAACATAACCTCTAAATATTCTTTAGTAGCTTATGCTCACATTACGAAATTGGATGTAAAAATACTAAAAACAGCATAAATGATTTTTTTAAGAGGATAAAATAAGGACTGAAAATGTAGTCACTATTAATTTGTTCTAAACCAAGTTAAATTTTTTTCCTCTTAAACACAAAAAAGATTGAATAATGTGTGTAACTGGCCATTGGCTTTAAAAGTTTTTTTTTTCCTACTATAGAAGTCAGTAGTTTATAGTTACCAATTTCATCCGAAATAGCTTCTCTTCAAATCAAAAGTAAAAAAGAGATTCAGGTTCAGATTTGCAGCCACTTTACACTTTAAAAATTCTATAATCAATAAGGTAGGACCTGTTTTAGTTATATGAGCTGTTTAATATACAAGTCAGTTTTTTTAGTCGATTAAATGTAATTTAAGTTCAAAAGACTCATAAGTTTAATTTAATTCAAATGTAAAAAATAACTGGTTGCCTTAAATTTTAAAGTGTAGGATAAGTAAACTGAGAGTGAATTTTTATTTTTCTGTAAATAAACACTTTAATAATAATTAGGAAAAATAAAAGAAAAATACTTGGAGGTTTTCAAAAGTGATACAGATAAGTTACAAAAAATAATTTTGCATTCTGTAATGGTTGTTTTTTGTACACTTTATTCATTAAATAACCCTGAAAAAAGTATCCAACCAAAAATGGTGTTGTTGGTTTTTAGCTTGTTTGCTGCACAACATGTCACATGGCAGTTTTTGAGACTTCTTTTTTGTTATTTGTCAGATCAATGACAATGAGGCAGCTTCCCCAATTCTAAATCATCTCAGATGGTTAGATTGCTGGTGTGGTTGGTGTGGAGGGTTATATTGGGTGTGATTTTTCAGATAATGACGCATGTCACTCTGTCTATATTCATCATAAAAATATATTAAAATATAAATAAAATATATTTCATAAAAAATTCCTGAACATTATTTGGTGTGCATAAGTTTTTGTCTTCACTATATATTAATATTTAACTTATAATGCTGAAATGTTTGGTAGAACAGTTTGATTTACAATCCAGTTTCTTTGTCCCTTTCCAATGTTAGTTCACTGTAAGTACACTAATTAATACAAAAATAAGTGCGACCAGATGTTTTCAGATGTGCATCATTGACTGCTGAAGGTTTGGACATAAAACCTTATTAGTATTGAGACTGAAATGTTTGGTATTTTGTGTCTATCACACAAAATGTATTCTCCCTGTTCTTGTTTACAGGTAACTTGTATAAAAACCATGGCACCAGTTTCAGTCTGTCCAGCCTGGCTCTGCCTAATAAAGCGAGAGAGAAGAACACGCCGTTTCCCAGCCTCAAAGGTACACGCATTCCCTTGGACCTCATCCCATGTGACCTCCTGCTCTTCCACTCATCTGACCGTCCTGTCTCATTCCTCCAGTCTAGTCCAGTTATCTTCTCTTATTCTTCTCTTTTTTCCCTCCAAACCCCTTAATCTGTCCTTTCCCTGTCTATACTATGGCATTGTAGCTAATGCTTTAAACTGTCCTGTTAGACTCAACTTGTACTAAGGTAATTTAAGGCACAGATTAGCAGATGCCAAAATAAAAGTAGACCAGAATGAATTGATGTAAATAGATTTCTTTAAGAAAGACGTTTAAAAAATGGAAACCATTAGATTTAGGAAGACATTTTCACTTTAGTTGACTGTTTATCTTTTTCTTTTTTCACTTTTTGTCCTCTTTTTCCATTATAATTTGTGTTATGTATTTTGTTTGAAGAATATTTTAATTTTGATTTAGCAGAGGACACAGATCAAGGTTTGTGGGAATGTTGCCTGAATTTCTTTGCCCCAACCCACATGTCTTATCCAGTGTTGCTGCCCTGAAAGTGACAAGTGTCATGCCTCTCTTTTCCACTATGAAGATGCTGATTTAGTGGAAAATGGTTGCATCGACAAAATTTTCTAAAATATCAGGGGTTTTTTTTTGTAAATTTTTTAACATCTGAGACTTGCTGCAACTTGTATTCTAAAGCAATATGTTTAACGTAAAGCAAATAAAATGTCTTGAAAGTAAGATTTATGTCAGTATTTTTAAAAAAGAAACTAATTTCCATAATAAATGCAGTAATAAAAGTGTTTAAAGTGAATCCCGCTATAATTTCTGTTAGTTTTATAATTTCTTCTTTTAAGTATTTGTTATAGAGTGACAGGAAGACATCGTTGTTTATAATGCTGGTAAACATAATTTTTAAGGCTTCAAGTAGCCTATTTAGCATTAAATCTGAATGATATTGTGACCAGTCTGACCTATCTGCATTTTTTCCTCACTCAACAATGCAGTTTTTATGCAGCGTGATTTATAGCTTATTTTCCATAACAAAACAGAAGTCACTTTCTGAGCTAGCAACCCATGGTTCTTATTAGTGCCGTTGTTGTCATTGTTGACCTTTATTTTCTGTTTGTTTATGATTTTGGATGATGTTTGTAATGCTCAGACGATGCTGATGACAGTCCTGAAAGTCCTGGTATGTTTCTTATCTGTAGCCTGCCCTAATAATAAAACAGATTGCTGTTTATAGAAATGTAGACCCTTTGAGAGAATGAGAAACTCATCTCACCCCTTTTCTCACTCTAAACCTGACTGACAGACTTGCTCTGGTTCCCAACTCCTGTCCTGGACACTTGTTTTTTAAACCCCGGTATCTGAACTGGTAATGTGCTGTTTCGGGGTTGGAAAATAACAACTTGTGCGGGGCAGCAGTTTGGAAACTCTATGATAGAGGATATATCTGTGCTCACATATATCCGCTATGCCTATCCTTATCCTACTTACCTATTCTGTGATTGTTAGTAATGGACAAAACAATAATGAAATAATAGTCATTGTAATGATTGCATTCTGATGCTGATGATACACAGGGCAATTTTTTGGGCAATGTTGCAGGGCAATTCAGCAGAGCGATGTTGCTTGACTATGTTTTCATTAAGAATGGGCAACAATATTGTATTTGTAACACATTGCCCTGATTAGATTGCCTGCGTCTCACCTGGTTGCCCATTCCTGGCATGATTTCCCAGCAGCATTGCTCAAAAAGTTGCCCTGTGTGTCATCAGCATGAATCATTCTATACAGAAAGGACATTTCTGCAGGCATGAAATAATCTAATATTTGACTGCTCTTTGTGTCGTGTGCGGCGTGTTTTTGAAGTGATCTATCTTTCATTTGTGTGTCATCTCAACCGGAGACAGAATTGAGGTCTGTTCCGTTTCAATTTCACCCCAACTCCCCGGGTGAATTGAAGATAACAAAAGCAGACTGCAAAGGAGAGGAGTCGCACAGAACATTTCAAGCTCTGATCAGCTTCAGAACTGAAATGTAGTTTCCTGTTAACTTGGACCTGTCTCAATAATGGAGACTTTGAAGTCTGTGGTGATTGTGGTGTAGGTGTTTTAAAAGAAATCGATAAAATGTCAAGGATTGCAGTGTAGTTCAGGCAGACGAATATCATGCAGGTTTAAGCAGAGCAGGAGAAGTGGTGCTTTTTTAGAACTGGGAACAGGAGAAAACCAATACAGCACTGCAGGACACAAAAGCACTCTGCATTCCTGCTAACATGTTGACTGGTATTGATTTTTGTTTCTTTGAATGTTTAGTGAGCAAAACAGAGAAACATTACAGGACCATTTCAAGTGTCTATTCAGTAGACAATCCCTCCAGCACTTTTACCCTGTCAGATTCAACAAGGTGCTGTTGGCCTTTTTACTTCTTACTTAATTAAATATCTATTTGATGTAATGCTTTTAAAGTGTGCCCTATTTGATCCTTTTTTGTACTATAGTGTTGTAAAAAAATAAATAAGAAAAGAGCACAGTGTCAAAATACACAGGCAATATTGACACAATTTATACTTTTCAGTTACATGAGTCACCTGTGTTGGAGACCTGAGGGGTAAAACACTAGGTTGTAATTTCAGCTTATACTGCTATCGTAGAAATGCAGCACACACCAGTCAGATTTTCTACTGATTTCAGCTTCAGATATTTGGATCATGTCACCTAAACAGCACCCCACTGTATTTCAGTAATTAAAAACAGCCTCTAGTGCCAGAGCTCCTGTTTGGAGATGTTTACATCAGTCTGGTGGAGAATTAAACTTTAACTGCACTTAACTGCAAATCAGAATAGAAAAGTTAAACGCGTATAAATGTAGACTGTAGTTATTTTAGCTCAAGATGGGTCAATAATGCTGCCATTTGGCACAAAGATAAAATTTCAGTCCTTTTAACTTTTCTTTCTCTCTATTAATTCTGTAGATTTGGGCTGTGCGATTTGGGGAAAAAAACATCTAATTGAGATTTTTTTTTGACTGATAATGCGATTTATATTTGATTTGAAATTAAGTTTTGTAGTCAAGCCTCAGCTCAATTATCTGTATCGTAGCTTCTTACTGCTAAAATGCAGTGAGTTCTAGTTAAAAAAGGAACTGAAAAGATATTAACTTAAACATTTATTCAAATTTATTTTTTAAATAATCAGAAATGAAACGCTCAATTTAATCTAGAGCAAACAGTAAACAAATAAAATGACCTTACCTTTTTATAAACTAGTTGAAATCAAATTAGGGAGAAAGTGTAGCTTATTATACAAACAAAAAAAATAATTATAAAAATACAGAACACTCAAACTAACATGGCTGAAACAGCTCTGTTGTACTTTACTTTTAAATTGTACTTTACTGTTGCTTGCCATACTAGATTGAGTGTCACTGGCAATACTCTTAGTTAACTATTTAGCAAGACACTCTTAATATGGTTGTTGTATTTCCTCGTGCTGTTGCAATAATTCTATGACAAGTCTTACTAACCACCTGTTTTTGTTCAGTGTCTGTGACTTTGAAAAAAAAATGTTTTCATATTACTGCTGTCATGTTTTTCTTTGACATTATTTCATCTATTTAAAGTTTGTTTGTTTTTGTTTTATTGTGGGTGTTTCGCATAGTTTGCTTGCTCAATTCTGATTGGGCAGAACAAAAGTGAGCTCACTCTATTGGCTAGAAAGACTTTCACACACATATGGCAGACAAGCATTTGTTCTGGGCAGGGGAAATGAAATAATACATATTTCATATCGCTGCCTCTTGCAATTAGCTAATCACAATGTTTCAAATCGCGATTGTGATTCTATTTCAGTTAATCGCACAGCCCTACTGTAGATGCTTGTATCCTGGTTGGTCTGTATATCTTATTGCACAACAACTATCCGGTATTTTGAAAAAAAAATATATAAATAAATAAATAACCTCCATTAGTCCCCTCAATGGTATGATGTCACAAAAGCTATGTATAATGTATTATCATTTCTGACAATGTTTCTATGATATTTTTTTGTGAATTTTTTTAAACACACCTCAGAAAAGTAAGTAAATTGCTACACTGAATGTAATTTAATGTTAAGTCCAAATCTAACGAAATGAGCAATAGCAGCAAAGTCATATCTTTGCAATAAAACATAAATCTGAATGTGAAGGTCAATAAAAAAGCAGTGAGTTAGTGGGTTGTGTTTATAGTTGGATTAGAATTTAAGATGTGACCGTAGTATTTAATGGCGATTATCTTTTATAATATTACTGTTCCCTGTTTGACCTCTTTTTATGAATAGAGTTTTGTAGAACTGCTTCAATCTTTAACTATTAACATGTAATCATTCTTAATCAAGACTTCCCAGACTATTGTGTCCAGATTTAGTAGTCTGGAATTCTCAACAAAAGAAAAATCCCTTCTATTTTCTTGACTTTCTCTTTTTCCCTCTACTTCGCTCTGTCATATCCCATGCTCTCTGCTGGTTTCTCTGTATATGTACATGTGTCCGGTGCTTGTGGTTGTGGGTTGATGTTTGGACTGGTTCTGTCTGGGCCGGTGTTGTTCTCTGTCCCCTCTTTGACCCCCTGCACTAATTCTGGCTTCTGTGTCCAGTATTTGGGCTAAATTCTCTAATGGAGATTGTAACAGAGATCGGCCCGGGGAGCGGAGAAGGTGGGTTCAGCCCTTTGCTGCGTGAGCTGCATGCTTCTCCAAAGCCAGTCAGCTACATCTCCCAGCATCCCCGATCCATCGTTGCTTCCTCATTCTTTACCGTGTGTCTGATGTCAGTCACTGTCATCATAACCGTTTCACTCTTTTGTTCACATACGTCATGTCTTCTGTTATGGGCTGGGACTGTAATGTAAGGAATAGGACTTCTGGTATGTTGTATTAGGAGGTTTTGCTGGGTAGAAAGAGATAATGTTTGTGATGCTTGAAGGATGTGTGTATGCATTGTTTATGAGACCAGGCAGGGAAGGAAAAGCCATAAATTATTCAAAGTTTCTACTAATGTTATTTACAGTATGATGCATCTCATGAAGTCGGTTGACAGAATGTCTAGAATGTGCTGATCTGTAATATGGACAAAAATAAGTACTTAGAGCCTATTTGAAATCTAACTGAAATTTAATGTGCTGATTGAATGTGCTCATAAAGTTATTGTTATTGAAAAATAAATGAATGAACGCCCGAATGAATCACCATGGTGACCTGATTAACCCATCTGATTTTATTTTTAGGATACTGTTTAGTTTGGGGTCAGTCAAATTTTGGAAGGCACTTTTTTGTATATATATCTTTTGTAATTTAATCTTAAGGGGAAAAAAAGCAGATTTTTATGTCTTTAGTGTCACATGATCCTTCAAAAATCATTCTAATGTATTGAATTGGTACTTAGGAAGCACCTATTATAAAATTCACACTGTAAAAAAAAGAAAAAACTAAGTAATAACTCAAGTTTGGATAAGTGCAGGTAAAACAAAATTTTGAAAATACACAGCAGTAGTTTTACAAATAATTTGTTTAAAAAAGCTTTTGTTTTTAAAAGAAATTTTGTATGCTCACCAAGGCTGCGTTTATTTTAAGGAGTAAATAATTTTTAAATAAATAGAATGTTCAGGGGGGGAAAGGATACATTTGAAAAAAAAAATAATTGAATGACAGTTTTGAATGTTTGCACACATGTTATATATTATACACTCACCGGCCACTTTATTAGGTACACTTACTAGTACTAGGTTGGACCCCCTTTGCTTTCAGAACTGCCTTAATCTTTCGTGGCATAGATTCAACAAGGTGCTGGAAATGTTCATCAGAGATTTTAGTTCATCTTCACATGATAGCATCATGCAGTTGCTGCAGATTTGTTGGCTGCACATCCATGATGTGAATCTCCCGTTCCACCACATCCCAAAGGCGCTCTATTGGATTGAGATCTGGAAGGCCATTTGAGTACAGTGAACTCATTGTCATGTTCAAGAAACCACACTTTATGACATAGCATGTTATGCTGTTGGAAGTGGCCATCAGAAGATGGGTATACTGTAGTAATAAAGGAATGGACATGGTCAGCAACAATACTTGGGCTGGTTGTGGTGTTGACACGATGCTCAGTTAGTACAGTACCAATGGGCCCAAAGTGTGCCAAGAAAATATCCCCCACACCATTACACCACCTTCACCAACATGAACCATTTATACAAGGCAGGATGGTTATTTGTTGTTGACGCTAAATTCTGACCGTGACATTCGAAATGTTGCAGCAAAATTCGAGACTTATCAGACCAGGCAATGTTTTTCCAATCTTCTATTGTCCAATTTTGGTGAGCCTGTGCAAATTGTAGCCTCCGTTTCCTGTTCTTAGCTGACAGGCATGGCACCCTGTGTGGTCTTCTGCTGCTGTAGCCCATCCGCCTCAAGGTTGGAGGTGTTCAGAGGTGCTCTTCTGTATACCTCAGTTGTAACGAATGGGTATTTGAGTTACTGTTGCTCAAAACAATCTGGCCATGCTCCTCTGAACTCTGGCATCAACAAGGCATTTGCGCCCACAGAACTGCCGCATCACTGTTTCATAATATGTCTTTGGCAAGTTTGTATAGACTGAGAATTATTATGACTTTTGTTTGCGACATGCAAGTACGGCTTGCACAATCTAACATTTCATAAGCCACACACGGTGAAATGTGTGTGCGAAGAGGTCCATCTGCTAATGCCATTATATGCATTTTGCACATGTTAATGTTCAGATGTTTGGACGAGCACACATGCTGAGTTTGTGTGTGCGTGTAAGTGTATGTGCTGTTGCCATACACTGCTAATTGTCTGCAGTATAATCATCTAAGCTTTTTTATTGAATTTTTTTATGTTGTGTCTTGTCATCATGCAGTCTGTTTGTCACTCACTCATTTTCTCACTCTGTTCTCTGCCTGTGTGTGTGTCAGTCATTGCTCCTGTAGCTGTTCTTTCTGCTCCAGTCCTACAGTCGCCCTCTAATTGTCAACGTTAGTGTCATTAGTAATGTAATACCCCTGATATCCTAAGGTGCAAAGGAAAAGTTGCTTGATTGTGTGTGGATCTGTTAAAAGCTACATGTGTGTGTGAGTGTTTTGCCCCTTATATTGATGCTGTACAATATAATCAAACAGACACAGTATGAAAACATCTATGCAGAGGTTTTAGGCTGCACTGTGTGTTTTAATGCTGTGGTCTTTGTGTTTCTGCTGTGGTGTTTTTGAATTTTTTTGGTGATGTGAATTCTTTAGATTTTAGGCTTGTGGAAGCTGGTTCATACATGTACAGTCTATATATCCTGAATGATAGAGGGGATGGTCTGTTGTAGGTGCCCGAGCCCCCAGAGCACTGGTAGATCAGAAATCCTCTGTTATTAAGCACAGCCCTACTGTGAAGAGAGAGTCTCCGTCTCCTCAAGGCAGAGCCAACAATACCAGGTACTGCAACTTGACATGTGCAACTCAAAGGAGCTCTATATTTAATTATATATGTAAAATTCTTTTGGTGTCAAGATACATTCTAATATTATTGGTTTGGTGCTCAGAATGTGATACATATTCCTTTTTGGGGAATTACACTTACCTAACTTTAAATAGTTCTTGACCCCAGTGAGCTATAAACATAAAAGAAGACATTTTGAGCATTACTATCGTCCATCTAGAAAGTTTCACGCTAAAACATCTGAAAAGTTATATACATTATGAAGTAATGAGAAAGAAAAATAGAAAACATGTACCTTAAAAACCAAGTGCCTCCTAAGTTTATTTTTCAAATAAATATAGGAGGGAGACATGCGATTACTGGGAGATTATCACTCGTTTGCCGGCATGCGGGAGTCTCTGTGAATTTGCAGGAGACTCCCGGAACATCCGGGAGACTTGGCATGTCTGGAATGACCTCCCACCCTACTCATAATTCTCTCTTCATATAGCTGTATGCCTATTACATATCCATAAAACTGTAATATAGCCGGGCTCGGATCGTATCGCTTTCTCACTACAATCGATCCGCTCCAGAGTTTGTTTCAATCGAGCCGAGACCACCTCATTCAAGCGATCTCGGAACGATTGTTTTGGCGCGGATCCGAGTGTAATGGCTGGATTCACATTTGCCAAATGAAACCGCGCTAACTGGGCAAACGAGAAAGGTTCCGAAACAAAAGTCTTGGTGTGAAAGCACTCTGAGACTATATAAATCTTTTCCTCAATGACCTTCCCAAACTAAAATAGTAACAGTTGCTGAATAATTTGGTCTTCATTCACAGTTAATGTATCTGTGGAAAGAAGACACTTTAGACATAACTATCCATCATTTAGATTTTTTAATGCTCAAAACGAAAAAAAGTTATAGATGTTTAAGTAATGTAAAAAAAAACAGCATGTGTTTGTAATATAGATCTTTTTATGACTTTAAAAATGTGTGAAATGAGTCAAATGAGTGTTTGATAATTTTAGTAATGCTTGCTAAATAAAACCTATATTTTTCTGCTAGAAAAAAAATGTATGTTACTTGCATCAAAGTTTTGAAGGGTTGTGTATATAAAAACAATATATATATAGCATCTTTAACAGAAATCATTTACAGATGTATAAAAATGCTAATTTTTAGTTAAGCATAAGTACAATGTAAAACATGTATTTGCACAACTGCTACATTGTAACAAATTATTAATTTGGGTTTAAGTAAATATTAGTTAAGGCCACCAAATATAAGGTGGGACTGTATTTTTTCTGTTTCTCTATTTTTGTTCTCTAATGCATGAGAATGTATCTTATGCATCATTAAACTTGTTTATTGTGCTGTGCAGTGAGAACCAGCAGTTTCTAAAGGAGGTGGTCCAGAGCGTGCTGGAGGGGCAGGGTGTGGGCTGGCTTAACATGAAGAAGGTGCGTCGCCTGCTAGAGAATGAACAGCTCAGAGTCTTTGTGCTCAGCAAACTCAACCGTGCGGTCCAGTCAGAGGAGGACGCCCAGCAGGAAGTTATAAGAGATGTGGTGAGTTCGAAATGATAGTCAAATCAAGGGTTCATGTTGAGCTAAAGCAAACATCTTATACTTCATTTCATATACATGTTGTGTCTTACAGGAGATAAATAGAAAGGTCTACAAAGGCATGCTGGATATTTTGAAGTGCACGGTGTCCAGTTTGGAGCATTCATACACTAATGCTGGCTTAGGGGGCATGGCCAGTGTCTTCAGTCTGCTAGAGATAGCACGCACCCACTACCAAACCAAAGGTAACCTTCGTTAAAATGTCCACACCAACATGATTTCTACCTACATCCACAACAATATATTTATGTGGACCAGCACAAAGAGTTTCTGCTCTCTAGAAGATTCTTTTTCCTCCTCTTTACAGCCATGTGGAGCTGGATGTCAGTCACTCTATGATCTCTGTTCATAATCTTGGGTTTCAGCCTTTTATTTCCATACCTGATTACAGAAATCATCAGGAACCTACCTTTAAATTTAACTTCTATCTTTTTCTCTCCATGTGTCTTTGCTATTTCCTCTTCTTTCTTTTTGCCATGCTCTGTTTCCTTGGTGCCCGCGTGTGGCTCACAGATCCAGAGAAGCGGAAACGGAGCCCCACCGAAGGGCTTAGCAGTCCAGGCAGTAAGGAGAGCCCATCGGGCCGAATGGAGAGTGCCAGGGCGGCAGGGGTGCTTCTGGTACCCCGTATCCAATTGCCGCCACCCTCCTCTGGGAAATCATCACGCCAGTTTGATACCCGGAGTCTGAACGAGGAGAATTTTATTGCCTCCATTGGTGTGTAAACCACAGTCCCCATTGCATGTCCCCCCTTTTTCGCTGCTTGTTACATTCCTTGAGCTCGGGGGCCATGTGTCCCTTAGGGCTGCATCCTCTATTTCATTAACTGTCTACATCGATTTTGTGCCCAATATTAAGAATCCAGAAGGCTCAAGTGTTCCCCATTCAAAAGTGACGATTCTGGCATTGTATACTCATCCAAATTCAGTAAGACTTGAAGCAATTTAGGTTTTATTACCTGTTCCAAACTGATGACTGGGTTTTATTCTGGAGAATTAAATTTAAGGGGTCCAAAACACCCACTGACATTTAATCGTATGGACAAAAAAAACATTTAATACAAAATGTCCACTTTTGTGATTAACAGAAGAAAGAAAAGTCATACAAGCTTGGAACAACATGACAGAATTTTCATTTTTGAGTGGACAATCATTTTAAAATTTCTAATTCTTTTCAAATAGTGCTGTTCTGTTACCTGATGATGATGAACGAATTAGTGGCATTAGTTGGTGTAGACACATTACTGGAATATTGAGATGCATTTAAACCAAGTTTACGTAGACTCCTTCTGGAATGTTCAGCGTGTGTTTTCAAAATCCTGTTTGCCAGTCCTAAATCCCCTTAAATCCATTGGATGCATGTTAGTGAAAGACCTGCAGCTCTGTGTAGCCAAGAGTGAAATAGTGGGACGGTGAAGGTCTTGGACTGTGCCACTACTCTCTATAAAACGGTTCTGAGCTGTTCTTTCCCCTGTTAACAGTCCTACGATAAGCCCTAAAACTAACCACAGACAACTCGCTCCATTTGAAACGCCTCTAGTGACTTGTGGATTTACAGGTCAAGGCTTCTGATTGGCGGTCATATCTGAGTCTGTGCACAGGGGATCGTCCACCACCCCCCTTCCAAACCCCTACCCTCATGACCTTGCCTTGTCTGTCCTTCGGTAATAATGCACCCGCAATTCTACGGAATGTCTTTGAGACTGCATCCCCTGCTTTTGCAACACCTCATTTCACCCACCAGCTGTGAGGCTGATTTGTCGTCCTCATCTCACGCCTTTTGCACCTCCCAGGCCGTCCACCCTCGCCTTGGAGAGCCACTGCCCATTATGGATGATATGAATGGGGAAAGAAAACCTAGGCATGAGGCTGATTTTGTGTGAAATCCATCGTTTTGGCTCTTCAGGAACAGGGTTGCAGAGCGTAGGATGTTTTGTAATGGTTCCTCACTAGCTTTAAATGATTGGATGGTTTTACATGATGCGAGATCTTTCATTTAGCTTGAATTATGGCTGTGTGAGCATTGCAAAACATCCTTGTTTTGGAAATTGAGACTTTGCACTTGTTCGGTTTTTATCATTTGTTGTTTTATTTTAATTATTATTCTTTTTCTCTACAAACAAGCTCATCCTCCATATCTGACAATTCAACCGGCTCTCTGACTCTCTCTCTGTCTTTCTCTCCTTGCTTGCAATGCATCTTGGGTAGAATTGTGGAGCAAGCACCAGGATAACAGAAAGCAAAAAGCTTTGGAAAAAGAACAGAGTAAGATCACTTCCCTAAGCACCCAATTAGACTTTCCTTTGCAGAACTTCAAAAAGGACTCTGTCCTTCTACTTGCACTAGTCCTCTTCCCTTAAACCATATTCTATCACGGGTAGAAACTGAATCTGCCCCTAATTATACTATTTTTCAAAAAGCCCATTTAGACATGTGGCCCAAACCTTTTGTCTAGGATTTAACTTATTAAGGAGAAGCATTTATAGATGCAAAGTTTTACAACTTAAGTAAATCTTGAGGTATAAAATAAGCCCTGTACACATACAGATGTACAGTAAGTCATATTGAATTCAAACCTGTATTTGGGCCAGTATTTCTAAGTGTGCAAATCCTGATTGTGATGGCTTGAGTACTTGACAGGTATTATTTTGGGGTACTTGGGGAGACGAAAACACAATAGCTTCATCTGAGCTTCACACGTGCAATCACTTGTGAGATATGTGGAGCGCACGTTGAAAACATGTGACATGTTTTGGAACATTTCAGTTTGAAACCCATGCAAAAAAAAGGTGGGCACATGGAAATGCCTGAACACATAGGAATTGTGTGAAAATGTTACAAAACCACAAGTGTTTCAAATCCTTTTCAAAAGTGTTCTGCTTACTTTACATGTGATTTCACGTGTAGCTCACATGGTTTTTCTGTATAGGTGAGAATTTTTAAATAATTTTTTTTTTGTTCAAATCTCTTTCTTTGCTTGTTTATCACACCATAGATATTTACATTAGATGTCACCTATGCTGTTATTGTTTATTGGAAGGATTGCGTCAATAGAGCTGGCATTTTAGTACAGGATAGCGCTCCTGAGACATTGATAGATAAGTGACTGCATGGGCATTGCTGATAAAGAGAGTGTGTTTGTGTGCATGGAAATGTATTATCCTTCCTCCCTGTTAAATTTAATCTAATCCATGTCCTGAAACACACACCCTTTGTTTTCACTTACTAATTCTAACAGAGGGAGCGATTCCTTCGTGAATGAGTTTATGAATGACTCCATGTGAACCATCGATATCTCTGTGTGTCAATGTGCATATCCACATTTCTGATATATATACACCTTTATAATGTTTGTAATATTTAATAATTTAGGGTGGACAGTATGCACATTGAGGCACAGGCACTGATATGTTATCAGGCACCTTTAAATGTTACTTCAGAAACTAATTGTTACTTCACTTTGCCGACAATAATACACGGTTCTAACACAACACATCGTCTTGTTGTCATATTTCATTTACATTATTTACTTATTTTACTCAACAAAACTAGCATACGCCTTAAATTTAGTTCAAGTTGGTGCTACTTTGCCTCATGGTCATTGCAGTAAGTGATTGTATTGTCATCAATAATGTTACTTGTTTAGCACAAACTATGTTTAGTTTAGCACAATCTAAACTTGTTTAGTCCATAACATACAAACATTTACACAAAAAACAAAACAAAAAAACTAAATCTTACCTATGAAATGTTCTGCCTTTATGCTTTGTTTTCTTTGTTTGCTCATTACTAAACCTGTAAGCAGCGCAAAAGTCCAGCATCTTCAGATTGGCTTTAATCTTGACCTAGTTTTGTTTAATGACATTTGTCCTCGTAGCACTGTACAAATGTAGTACCGGTATTGACACATGCTCAGGGTCTGTGTGCGATATCTAGTGTAAATATCTATGGTATCACACTATGAGAGTTATTATAATTTTGTGAACTTTTTTTTTTTTTTACTATGTTTTTGTCTCATTTGAGGTACTGTAGCTCTTTAAAAGCAGTGCATTGCAAGACTCCTGTATTAGATTGCATACCTGTTAATACGCCATGCCATTGCTTTTGTGGACTTTTAAGTCAGGTCTTTGTATATTGATGCCTTTCAATCAAAGCAATCAGAATGCAAGTTACAACCCAATGTACTCTTGTAACCAATCACAAAATCATCATTACTTCCTAGTTCTCAGGTACTCATGCCTATCTCTACTCTTGACTGTTTTCCTCTATTTTTTTTCTTTTTTCACTTTGGGTTTGTGCATTTATTTCATTTTTCATTGCTATCAGGTGGTTTAAATAAACGGAAATCAGGTGATTATCTTTTAGTAGTTATTTTTACAGATATGTCTCAATGACTGAACACAGGCATGTGCTGTTTATTTTGGTTTACTTTATCTTTCTACGATACAAGTATGAGAAATGAGATGTAAACCATGTGTCGCTTACTTATTGTAGTCAAGTATTGAATGTTTCAAAGACCACATGTGCCTCTAAAGAAAAACAAAACTGCTGTTAAATGTTTTTTTTTGCTAATGTATTTTAGCCCAAGCTTTTTTTTTTTAAGTCATGATGCCTCATATGGTGTAATCAGTTTTGAGCAAGTTTGGTTTGCAATTGCATAATGGGTTTGAATATTGAAGAAGCAGTGAGTACGTTAGTTGCAGCTGAAGCTTCCTCCTGTCCGACTGGTTGACTGTGTTTGCCTGCATGTGTGACTGCTTCTGTCTGTGTGTCTGTGATACCTAGTGCTATTCTGTGAACTGATCTGGCCCACTGTCAGCTGATCTGCTTCTGTGAGTTTCCCCCAATTTGACCGCAAGCATTATTTGTTTCTTTCTGCCTGCCCTGCAGTCTAATGAGTGGCAGCCGGCTGAAATGGCATTATTTCACTCGCTGAGATCGATGAAGTACAAAAATGGTTTCAGCTCGCTGTTAGTCATATGACTCTCCCAGAATGCGGTTCAGACAGTTAATGGACGGAGGAGCTCATTGTGTGTTTTCTGCAGGAGCGGATGGAGTAAAACAACGTGTAGAAGGAGGAGACACTGAGGAGAAGAAATCACAGATCAGTGCAGACAGTGGCCTCAGTGTGACATCTGGCTCACAGGTACAGTAGCTGTTAACGTGATATCACATAAAAGTAATTATAATCTCTATTTCAGAACTTTATTTCCCTACTGAATGCATAGAAAACGGTTATAATACCTATGTTAGAAAAAATCTTTGTTGATATGAACTCGACCAATGGGAGTGTTGTGTGTTACATATACTGTATTGTGCCTTGGAAAATGCAACATGCCCCAAAGACCTTAACAAGTTTGTTATAGTTTATGAACCACAACAATGGTTTATGAATGGTTTATGAACCATTTATGTATCTTTTGTCTCATTTCAAACATTCAAAAAATGTATTTCTCTGCAGTTTCTTTGCCAGTGTAAAAGATCTTTGGTTGAGCGTATATACGCAAACAGAAAATAGCAATAAATACATATTTGGGAATTTCACGTTATCTCTGTGAAAAGCTGAAAATGTCAAACAAATTATCTCAAAAGAAGGCGACCTAGAGTGCTGTGTTAATTTATGCATCCTTAAACTCCTCATTTATAATCTTAGTTCAGTGGTGGGGAACCTGTAGCTCACAAGCAACATAGTGCTCTTTTATCGAAAATATGTGGCTCTTCAGCTTTCTCCCTTCAATAATATTTTGCGGTTTAAAAAAACTTTCAAAAATTTCCTATTGAAAATAAATATATATAAATAAATCAATGGCTCTTTAAAAATATTAATTAGCTAAAAAATCAGAAATGGCTCTTTGCTTAAAGGTTCCTGACCCCTGCTCTTAGTCGTTGAGGTTATCTTCAGCAAGTAAAAACTTTAATGGCAGACGGCTACTTCTCACTCAGGGCTGTTTATGCTAATGAGGGAGAGATTGTCGCTAATGGGCGGGCCTATTTTTGAGCTGTGATGGAAATATGCTTAAACATACTTTTTATTGTTGTATTATTATTATTTTTTTTTTACAACTCTGGACCTGCTGAAGAAGAGTGATACGGATTCCCTGGCGAGCTCTGAACCTCCTGCTCTGACCAGAAGCACCAGCCAGGACTCAGAGGCCAGCACAGTGGTAGGGCACGGCCATTATAGAGAATATAACCACCTCATAACTTTAACAGGCTGATTCTCATAGCTGTGTTCAATATGTATTTATTTCTATCTTGCATTCTAGTCATGTACTTTCTATTTCAGCTTATAGATAGTTCACTCAAATAATTATTTCAGTCATCGTTTAGTTGCCTTCTTTATGCTATAATTATTAATTATTTTGTTTGCTGTACAGTATAGACCACAAATTGAGATTTTATGAAGAAAAGTCTCACTACAGATACTAGAATTCAGCTTAAAGTATTATGTAAAGGTCCGGTGAAGTGCTTTGAAAATTCTGATATTTTTATTAAATTTTTGACGTAATTTTAACTGAAACATAAATAGAGGGTGGGACATAGATTACCCCTCCCCTTTTTAAAAAACAGCCAATAGCGTTTTATTTTGATCACAGCTCCGCCAGTGAGAGTGGTTAAGCTCAAGAGCACCAATTGAACAACAAATGAGAAACATCTTGAAGGGGCAGGGCATGTCAGATACTAGAGAACATTTGATTGGTCAAGATTTGATGATAAACTGAAGTGTAAGATCACATGAAAATAAATTGTTGATTAATTTAGATGGAAGTGATAAAAGGAGCACATTAGCTTACAGTAGATATCCTTAAAAATAAAAACAATTTTACTAAAAGCTAAAAAAAACATATTTTCATTTCATGGGACCTTTAAATGCTTAACTAGATTAATTAGATTAACTAGGCAGGTCAGGTTAATTGAGCAAGTCATTGGACAACAGTGGTTTATTCTGTAGCCAAGTTGGCCAATAATATTTAGCATAGCTTTATTTTTTTTACTTTAAAATATTTGTTTTGTATTGCAGACAAACTAAAAGAAAAATGACTTTCTCCGGAAGAAAATAAAAGAAGTACTGTAATAATCCCTTGCTCTGTTAAACATCACTTATTTGAAAAATAATTAAAAGGGTTAATAAATGTGTCTTTAACTATATTGTCTGTGTTTTATGTTGTTTATGATTTGTTTGTTTTTTTGTAATAAATTGTTTAACAATGACATGTCAGCAATGGGTTTTTACAATTTCTGTTACTGTGTAAAAGAGTTTAGCTATATTTACAAGCTGCTTCACAGATCATGCAGATTTTAGCATTTCTGATTCTTGTTTTGTGGTGAAGTACCTTATTTAATCAGTCACACAATTCCTGTCGTTTGCTGTACTGTTGCTGATCTCTGCTCTTGAATGTGTAGGTAAGTAACAGCTCAGGTGAGACGCTCGGTGCAGACAGTGACCTGAGCAGCACTGCTGGAGATGGCCTGACAGGAAGACATGGTCAGCATCTCAACCTGTCCCGTGGCACACTGTCTGACAGTGAGATTGAGACCAACCCTGCAACCAGCTCAGTGTTTGTGAGTATCTCTCCAACATCTGTATCCACAGGCTTCATTACTGCATCTTAACATCTTTCACTGTTTTCATACTGCATGCATCATATAACAAAATATTACATCTAAAACACTCAAAAATGTTTTTTTATAAATAAAAAACAGGAGTAAATATATATATATATATATATATATATATATATATATATATATATATATGTGTGTGTGTGTGTGTGTGTGTGTGTGTGTGTGTGTGTGTGTATATATATATATATATGTGTGTGTGTGTGTGTGTGTGTGTGTGTGTGTGTGTGTGTGTGTGTGTATATTTGCATATATACATTTTTTTAAGCTGATAAAATTTGCTTTATTTTTATTGAGGCTGATTTTTTATCGGGTAACTATTCAGTTTAAATAACAATCGCACCAGTTACTACTGCCAATTATTAATATATTAGAAGTTTATTAGCACTTATAAAGTAGGATCTCTACTTAACATCTCTACATCTCTAATCCCACCCAATACCTAAACCCAACTACTATCTTATTAACTATCAATAAGCAGCTTAGTTGTAGTTTATTAAGCTTTAAGTTTTAATTGTTGTTGGTTTCTTAATAGTTTGAATTGTACATTTAAATAAAGGGTGACCATTTTTTGTGTTCCTTTAAATGATTCTACTTCAAATGTTAATTTACAGTTTTTAGCCTACAGTTATACGTCTCTCTCTCTCTGAAATATGTTGATTTATGGTGATGTAAAGGCTTGTCAGAAAATGGCCACTGTTATAGTTTTTTTTTTTAATGGAAGACTAAAAGTGTCAGCGTCTCCTTGCTGCTTTGTGACTTGCAAGATGTTATGGTAAAAGACTATATAATGATGTTTTGATAAAAATATAAAAGATACATTTAAATGTTCAAATTTAAGCTGAAATTGGAACTATTGAAGGATTAAATTAATATTTTAAATAATTCAATTAATTTATTTTATGCTTGATCATGTAGGGCAAGACACACAAGCTGAAGCCAGGAGTGAAGGAGCCTGTTGGTGTTAATAAAGCAGCACCTGCTCCACCCGTTGAGGATGTTAGCATGAGGATCTATCTGTGTGAGGGGCTTCTGGGTAAGAATATATCCTCCTCTTTAATCCCATCAGCGGTCCTCTCCTTTTATTCATTTTATTTTGTTCTTGCTTTCTTTATTTTTTTCTTCTTTCATGTCCATTCTCCTAACTGATTTAGTAATCAACTTATTGTCAACTCAATAATGATTATTAACAATGTGGTGCTTTCAAAAATGGCCTCTGTTGGCTTTCCTTTATTTTAATCTTTAAAATATGTAATACTGTCCTCACAGAGTACTCTTTTAGAGCTGTCTTTTTTCAAATGATGGCATCAGATAATTCAGCATATCATGCTTGAGCACTACAAAGTCCTCTGTTAATTTGCTCATTAACTCTAAATGTGTTCTTGTTTTAACCAGTGTTGATGACTTATTGGTTTGCAAATCTCTGACAGCTTAAAGCTTTGCTTCTAACGCTCTCTTTCTAACACTTTTTGTGCCTTCTGCTCTGCGGCTACCTCCTTTCCCCTCTTCTCTCCTTTTTTTACTTCCATTTAATGCCACAAAGGCCGGGATAAAAGCTCAGTTTGGGACCAGTTGGAGGATGCTGCAATGGAAACCTTTTCTCTGAGTATGGCTGAACTCTGACCTTTGACGTTTGAGATTTGTGTGTCTATTTATGGAAATGTGGAGTCGTAGTAGTAGACTCCACACGCTATGCTATGATTGTGTGTTTAAGTCTTAGATGGAGCATATAGATTGTGTTGCTGTTTTTTCCCCCACAAGAAATTCGATTATTTGATTTGATTATTGAATATTTGATTATTTATTATTTGTGTTTGTGCGCATGTTACTGTTTGCATGAACTTATGGTCAATTTATGGTGTTATTATATTAAATATAATAAGTGAAGTAAAATAAAGAAACCAGATGGGTCTGATAAATCACTTTTACTTTCCAGTTCAGTGTGTTCAGTGTGTTGCGACAAAACAGTTTGAGAGAATGCAAATGCTGAAACAATAAGCAGATGTATGTAGGCGTGTGTTAATGCTGTGTTAAAATTAATTTCATACGGTTTGATAGCACCTTTATTAAAGCATGCTGTGCAGTCGCTTTGTATGGAAGCCTGTGGCTTAAAAAAGGTAATTGCAACTTTATATCTCTGACTTTTTTTTCTTACAGAAGAAACTGAGAGTATAGGATTGGAAAGTACATTAAATTCTAGTACAAAGTCAAAAGTGTATCAAAAAACTAAATTTTTTTTACAGCTTTACATTTTGCTAATCTCAGAATTTTAAGATGTCATAAAGCAATACCTTTTTCTGTCTTGCAATTTCATGTTTATAGTCTATAAAGTTCAGTTGCAAGATGTAAAATAACAGTTCTAAGAAGTCTGAATTGTAAAATTATTTTTGCAGGAGGAAGGAAAGTTAGGATTGAAAGATAAAAATCTGTGTTTACCTTTTTTATTTCATGGCTGAAACAAGCTTCCATAGCATTTGGGTGCCTGAGGTTTCTTTGTTAATTCATTTTATAAAGGGTGCTTACTGTAATACTCTACATATTGTCATTGTCTATTCTGGCATGTTAAACTGAAGTGCCGTTTTCCTCAAGTAAAGAGTGTAAACGTGTGTATGTGTAGGTAAAGAGCGCTCAACTCTGTGGGATCAGATGCAGTTCTGGGAGGACGCCTTCCTGGATGCCGTAATGCTGGAACGGGAAGGAATGGGAATGGATCAGGGACCACAAGAAATGATTGACAGGTTTGTGTGTGTGTTGTTAAGTGCCTGCAGGAGTTATCATGCAGCAACGAAAGCAACAAATAACCACGAAATGGAAAAAGCCCAACATGAAATTGATCATTCATAATTGTCTGCTTTCAAAAGTTTGCATACCTTGATGATAGCGTACTAAGCGTATTACAGAGTTCATACTTACAAATTACAGCCATCTGAAAATGTTGAAACATTTTCCATATGTTCTGTTCTTCAGGAAAGTAGTGGAGTGTTTTTAACCAGCCTTGAGCTATAAGCTTTTTGGTCATGCTAGGGTTTAGATGTAAACTGTGATGCTCTGTTTTGATTAGTCTGTCCAAATACGACTGTGCTGTTTTATTTTCTCTCAGGTATCTTTCTCTGGGAGATCATGACCGCAAGAGACTGGAGGATGATGAGGACAGACTGCTGGCCACGCTTCTGCACAATATGATTGCTTACATGCTTATGATGAAGGTATCAACAAGCACAGTTTCATTTCTTCACATATGTTTAAATAAATATTGAGATTTTTATATAAACTACTATGTTAAAGTCTGGGGTCAGCATTGATTTGATCAGAAATTTCAGTGATGTTTTTAAAATTGTTCCTACACTCACCGGCCACTTTATTAGGTACACCTTATTAGTACCGGGTTCGACCCCATTTAGCCCTCAGAACTGCTTTAATCCTTCGTAGATTCAACAGAGAATTGGAAATGCTCCTCAGAAACTTAGGTCCTTATTGACATGATACCATCATGCAGTGGCTGCAGATTTGTCGACTGCACATCCATGATGCAAATCTCCCGTTCCACCACACCCCAAAGGTGCTCTATTGATTGAGATCTGGTGACGGTGGAGGCCAAATTCTGACCCTACCATCCGAATGTTGCAGCGACTGCCATGCATTGGATATTTTCTATTTGTCGAATCGCTGTGCGTAAATCCTAGAGATGGTTGAGTGTGAAAATCCCCGTAGATCAGCAGTTTCTGAAACTTCTAAAAAACAATTATGCCTCGTTCAAAGTCACTTAAATCACCTTTCTTTCTATTCTGATGCTCGAATTAAACTGCAGCAGATATCCACATGCCTAAATGCAGTGAGTTGCTGCCATGTGATTGGCTGATTACAAATTTGCGATGATGGGCAGTTGGACAGGTGTACCTAATAAAGTGGCCGGTTAGTGTATATCAAGCAAATGCTGTTTATTTGAACTATTTTTAACATTGGTAATAATATGAAATGTTTTTGGACATTTTTCTTACCCATTAATAAATTGCATTGTAAAATGTATTAAAACCGTTAATTTAAATATGTATTTTTAATGTAGCATTGGGTATCATAAGAGATTTTTACTTTTTATTATTGCGCTGAATTTAATTTTAATAATATATAATAATAAAAATAATAATGTTTCTTTTGGAACTGAATACTGGAGTGATAGAGTAAGATTTTTTATTGCAGACATTAACAGCATTTTAACATTTATTATTAATATTAATACTAATATAATACCAATAATAACTATTGTTGAATTGATGAATTCAAACACATTAAAAATTATACTGACGCGAAACTTTTAAATATGTAACTGTTCAATATATTTCAGTAAACTATAACTATAACTGTTACCATTTTTTCTAGGTCGGTAAAAACGACATCAGGAAGAAAGTACGTCGTCTTATGGGCAAATCCCACATTGGCCTCACTCACAGTCAGGAGATCAATGAAGTCCTGGATCGCCTCGCACATTTAGTAAGAACTTAATAAAGAAGTAGTCAAACCCATTCTGATGAAATAATGAGTGTTTGACAGATCCATGTGGTTTGTTTCAGAGCGGTCGGGAGCTTTCTATCAGGCCGAGTGGCAGCAGGCATATTAAAAAACAGACATTTGTTGTGCATGCTGGGACAGATACAACTGGTGACATATTCTTCATGGAGGTACGAGTTTTACATTTCGTTTTTTATTCTTTTGATCTGTTCTAAATAAAGCATATACTAACTGAGGACTGGGTTCTGTTTTTTTTCTTGTGTGTGTTTAGGTGTGTGATGATTGCATCGTCTTGCGCAGTAATATTGGCACAGTCTATGAGCGCTGGTGGTATGAGAAGCTCATAAATATGACTTACTGTCCCAAAACTAAAGTGTTGTGTCTGTGGAGGAGAAACGGCCAGGAGACGCAGCTAAACAAGTTTTACACTAAGAAGGTAAGATGCAGTCATAATGGAGTACAGATGTACACTGAGGATACTGGAACAATACAATATAAATCAACTGAGACTTGAGAGTGAAGTTAATAATCAGTTACCATACTTAATTGTCTCTTGCTGTGTGTTTTTGTTTGTGTGAAGTGTCGGGAATTGTACTACTGTGTTAAAGACAGCATGGAGCGTGCTGCTGCTCGACAACAAAGCATCAAACCAGGTACATTGTGGGTCTTCGTACGCTTTGTACGCTTAGGTTGGGAGATTAATCAAAGGAGATTTTCATGGACATTTTGTCTGTAAAGCTGGTTCTAGTAAACCTCTGGTAAGTGCGCTTAGATGGAGCAGAGCTTACTACACAAACACAGCTGTAGTCTGTCTGACAAAAATCACTTTGGAAATTGTGACATCGAGATATAATCATTATGTGATAATGACATATGTTTGTGTCGCTTGTCAGTGAAAATAACTGTTCCAGAATGTTCCAGAATCTCTGTATAACTTCAGTCGAGTGTTTGAAATAAATCATTATGTTAGATGATCCCATAAACATGATTATTAGTCATGCGAAATCAATGAAAGCAGTTCAAACTTTTGTTTGTAATACAATACATTGGGCATTTCCTGGGTGTCTCCTTTGTCTGTGTTTAGTGTTTTAGCCCAAGACTACCCTCTGGCCTCCGGAGGAGATTTACTTCTGATCACACCATGCTTCCCTGACAAGATGTGCATGACAATTGCAGATTTGCTCAAATGTGTTTACGTTTTCATTTTCGATTAATCTCCCTGCCCTACTTTCAAATATTTGGAGTTTTAGAATTTTTGAGTTGGATGTTTGTCAATAATTTCCATAAACAAAATTATTCTTACTCACCCAAACCATTTAATTTTATTGCTTAAATTTAGGTAAACTAGACCACATTTATCAATAATGAAATAATAAAAGTAATGTAACTTACCTGAATTTGCCCTTTTTAGTATTTGTGCTGGCCAAAGTGGTCTCTTGAGGTGGCATTGGCACAATACTTGCCATTCACAATCCCAATAAGTTTAACGGAACCAAGAAAATATGAGCAAGTTATGAAGGTTTAAAGGGTTAGTTCACACAAAATTGAAAATATGATCATCATGTACTCACCATTCACTTGTTTGAGTTTTGTTTTTCATAAAAAGATATTTTGAGGAAGTTTAAAAACCGTTAGCCATTGATTTCTATAATATTTTGTTTTTTTTCTACTATGGATGTCTGTGGTTACTGGTTTCCAACATTCCCTTTAAGTATCCCTTTAAGATGTTTAATTGACAAAATTATTGAAAAATAATTGAAAAAATAAGCATTTACATTTGCAAACAGACAAAAAGTATACATTGAGTACAATAAAGTTATGAGTGATTAATATTTAATTGACTCATTTGTTTTTTGGGCTTTGGGCTGTTTTCGTCTACAAACATGTTTCCTTGCGTTATCACAAATGAAACCACTGAAATGTGGAGTGCATACAAGTTTTACCCTCGCCAAGAACAACAGCATAATACTCTTTAAAAAAACTACATCAACATGACATCAATATGTTTGAATAAAGGATAAAGTATGCATTTTCCTTGGCTGGGCAACTATTTTGGCAACTACTCTACTATAATTTTCTCAATGAAATAATTGTTTTTCCAAAACAAGTCTAAAACAAGTTCTCTCCTTCCCATGTGCAGGTCCAGAGCTTGGAGGCGAGTTTCCGGTTCAGGACATGAAGACAGGGGAGGGTGGTCTCCTCCAAGTCACACTGGAAGGCATCAACCTCAAATTTATGCACAGCCAGGTAGGAGGTGTTGCCTTTCTCATAGCCATGACAAAGTGCTTGCCAAATTCAACACCACCATTCCTGTCATTCTCAATCCATCCAATCCCCTGTTTCTCTTTTCTGCCACTTCTCGTCTGTATTCATCTCACCATATCTCCATGTCTCCTTTCCTTCCTCTTACTCTTTCTTTCTACCCGTGCCTTAAACTTCCTCTGAGAATCTTTTGGAACATCTTACAAAGAAATAAGAAGCTAACCTAAGACTTAAAGGCATTATCAGATCTAAAACGAATATTTGAATTTAAGCCTGACTTAATCTGTTGTTCCTGAAGAATCTCTGAGAGGAGTTGCTGTTTTCTTTTTTTTATTGTTGTTGTTGTCGTCGTTTGGCTTTATTTGCTGGATGTTTGTTTTTTGGGTTGCATAATCACGAGCAGAGATTTACTTTTTCAAATGTCAGAACATTCCACCCGCTGTGTGTGTTAGTATGACGTGTTAATGGTCACAGCGCCCAGCTCTGGTCCTTAAGGTTTGTGAATGTTGGTGTGATGTCGGTTTATTGTGGTGTGCCAGAGGTAAGATGTAGAACCTTGTGCAAAACATACTCCAAGCAGTACAAATTACATTGTTGGGGAGAGTTAAAAGGATATTTTTGCAAACATTTTAACAATGTTAATGGGCTTTAATGATAAAGAAAATATCAAAATGCTGTTAATTTACTTACCTTCAGGCCATTTAAGGTGGAGGTGATTTTGTTTTTCTGTAGAGTTCAGATGTGTGCTCAAATGTACTGATAGCATTGACTTGCATTTTAAAAATCACCAATGACATCACTCTCAGCTTAAAATCTTCTTTATTGCATCTTCTTTAACATCTTAGCTGGCCTGGGGGAAATACATTAGCAGCAAATTTTATTTTTATTTATTTTTATTTTTATTTTTATCCTTATTATCAAGTATGATTAAATAGGCTTAAAATGAAGTCTAATAGATAATGAGGTACTGGTTCTAATATAAGCTACTTTACATAAGTCAGTTTTTGGTCTATATGTTTGTGTATTTATTAGTTTGGGTTTATTGGACTATTTTGCTAATTCGCTGTTTATAAAGCTCAAATGTAAAGACATTTCAAAGAGGAGGGAATTGTACACACAAAAAAGCTTGTGTTCATTTCAACTGAAAATATCCCATTAGTAAGCTACTACAAGGACAGAAGAATTAGTTACACTATACTATTAGTAACAGTACTTCTAGTAACACTGATTCTATAGAAGAGACTTAAACAGGCCATTTATTTTTGTTCTAACTCACCCTTCATCTTAGCTCATGGAATTCTGGTGCTCTAATGACCAAAAAATATATATTTTAAACATTTACACCTGTCCTGATTTTCTAACCCTTACAGTTTCTCATTCCAAATCTGTATGGAGCATGAAAGAAGATATTTTGAAAATTGTTGTCGCTTCCCATTGATTTCCAATGTGTCTTTATCCATTCAGTGGAAGTCAGTGTGAACCAAAAAGTGTTTTGCAGAATAAAAAACTTCACACAGGTTTGGAAAGACATTGTGTGTGTGTGTGTGTGTGTGTGTGTGAGTAAACCCTGAATTTTCAAATTTAAAGCTATTAAAATATCATAATATCATTTCACATATCAAAACATACATTTTCTATGTAACATACAATGAAATGTGTCCTGTTTAAAAAAAAATCTGAGCAAAATAGTGTTAATATCATACATTATTTTCATTATTTGCTGATGAAAACAATTAACAGTAGTTTTAAAAAAGAAATCTTATCAGGCATATTTAGAAAAAACATTTGATGAAATTAAAGTCTATTTAATTCTAATTTCAAACAATATAATTTAGCATTTTGCTTTAAACATTTACCTATTAAATAAATTTTTACCCATTTGACCTCAAGGCATTTTTCAATTATTTAAAATATATATTTAGTGTTTTAGTATTTATATTTTAGTTCCTAAAATATTACTTTTCTTTACACATTTGAATAAATACAGAATATGTATGTTTTATATATGTACTCTCAATATTTCATCCATATTTTGACATTTTATTTTCAGGAAAAGCTATTTGAAACATTAAAGCAGTCACATTTACTTGCATTTAATATGCATGTAAAATCACCTTTGTACATTTTATTCAATGTGGACATTAAAATGTGATCGCTCATCCTTGACCTATAAACAGGTATAAATACATTATAGGTGCATTTCTGGGGTTATTAGTTGATTACTTGAATGCTAAGAAGAGGTCAGGGTTGTTGAAATGTGCAGATCATCCACGTAGTGTAGCTGTGTGTGTTGTAATGGTTTGGCTGTAGGCATGTGTGAGGGAGCTGGTCTTCATTGCTGGTGGAGGAGGCATGGAGGGGTAATGGGGTGGGAACAACATCGGGACTTCAAAACTAACATTACCATAATGGCAGACATTAGCAGTTAATGCAACAAAGCCTTTGTTCTTTCTGGAAGGAATCAGCAGTTGGAGTTTTAATACCGTAAGGGTGGGTTCGTAGCACCAGAGGGTGTTTTGTGCTCTTTTTGTCCAATAATAATCCAAACCGTTTCTCTCCCATGCTCTCTCCCCCTGCAAGGAGCGGAAGGTACACACAACCTCTGCAGTCTTTGCTTTTTAGCGTACCATTTTCATTTACTTTCTCCTTTCTTTTACCTTGTTTTGTAGCTTTTCTGGCAGACGTCACTCTTGTGTGATTTTTATTTCCATTTAATGTCTTTTGTATTATTTTCTCTCTCTCTCTTTGTTTCTCTTTTGTGTCTCTATTTTTTTTTCGTCTGATAATGGAATTTTCCATGGATGTCTTTGCATGGGCCCTTATTTCAGCACATCAGAGGATCAATGCCATGATTTTGTTCCCACTTTTTGGTGCAAATGGTAACAGCTGCGGATTCATATTAGTGTTTCAGAAACACATCTGTTATACAAGTCTCCAGTGCCTCAAGAAGACGTCATTTTGAGAACCGTAAAATTAAGATGTTAATAAAAGTGAGGATCTCTTTTATGACTTGCGGTGTTGACTTGTTGATTAACTTGGTATAATTCTGCCAAAAAATATGCAAAAATAGGAAATCTGGGGTTATTTTTACTCTAAAGAATATGAGGGTCTGTAATGAGTTGCACATTCTTTCATGAAACTTTCATGGCTCTCCATTTGCGTCACCGGCCCATGTAATCCTGTCAACATGGAAACTTCTCTTTCCGTGCAGTCATTTTTTTATTTCCTTATTTTTTTAGTTCTGATAGCTTTTCAACAGCTTGCTTATCATGTTCTTTCTTCGTTTTCTCCCTAGTTTACAGTTACTAACTGTCCAGATTCTCATCTCTTCAGAAAAAAAAAAACTTTATTTCTTTCCCACAAGTGTGTGATTGAGTTGGTAACAGTGTGTCCTCTTGTTGTTTTTTTTGTTTGTTTTTGTTTGTTTTTAGGTTTTCATAGAGCTGAATCACATTAAAAAGTGCAATACAGTGAAAGGAGTCTTTGTCCTGGAGGAGTTTGGTAATTACCCCCATTTTGATTCTAGGCCTGTACGCGACACAGCAGTAACTCAGTCACATGCAGAGCAAAGCAGAGGAGTTAACCACGTTCAGCACTGTTAGATGTGTTCGTTTCAATTATTGTATGAGCTTCAAGAGCAGGACGCAAATCTGGCAGCTGCACTATCAATGCAGTTTAAGGATGGGATGTTCTTTAGAATGTAAATCCTAAAAATAGCCTATCAGGGCTCAGTTTGAGGGCATATTCTTTATCGAGTGTTGATTGTCAATCATTAAATTATTTTAATTTACATGTAACTACATATAGTGATGCACACAATACCAGAACCATCTCTGTAAGTGCCCAGTGATTTTCAATTTATAACAGTCAATATTGCAGACTTAATTGTGCTTGTGGGTTTTCTCCACTTTTGTTAATGCCATCATCTAACTCTTGCTAACTCCTTATTCATATTTACAAACTCAATGTGATTTTAGAAACCTAATAACATTATTGAGTACAATGAATTAGAATTTATATGTGCATACTCTGCATAATAATAATGGTTCTGATGGTGGAAAAGATCCTCAGATTTGAGAACTGTTTAAATTCTTGAGTCAGATCAGCTCAGTTTTAGATGGCGGTTGTTTTCTCAGATGCATCATTTAGAAAAGGAAGCACTTTCTTTAATAATACATCGTTCTTTTGATCATCACATAATGTTCACAATTGTATTTGGACTGCTTTGGATTTAGTGAAAATCATCAAAAATCACATAATGAAAATCAAACTAAAGTAAATAAGTAACATTTATAATAGTCATTAAATAAATAAATAAGAAATTGTGATTATTTTAAGTGTATTTAAAGGTTATTTTCAAACACTTTTGCAACACCAAACAAAGTCAGCATTATTTATTTACATCAAACTCTGCACACATTCATAAACTGATACAAAATATAAGCCATCAATGCACACTTAAAAAAAAAGCAACCTCACAAATTCTTAGGTAAAATTCAAAAAATGTGCTACTTTCTAAAAGGGGTAGTTCACCCAAAAATAATATTGACCTCATCATTAATTCTGTGCCTCAGATACTTTTAAACTTGCTTTCATCTACTGTACACAAAAGAACATATTTAGAAGAATGCTGGTGCTGGCACCTGTTGACATTCATAGTAGTGAAAAAAGCATTACTATGGAAGTCAATGGTTGCCAGCAACCAGCATTTTGCATAAAATCTTCTCTTATGTTCAACAGATCAAAAAGAAACTCAAATAGGTTTTGGACAAATGAAGAATGAGTAAATGATGGCAGACTTTTCATTTTTGTGTGAATTATCTCTTTAATATAAAAACAAGCAGGCTGAATTGAGCCACAAACTTCACAAAAGCAATTTAATATCCATGTTTATGATTCTTAATTCAAATCTAAACTGGTCAATATGACCCAAAACAATGCAATACATCGTAGCCTTCATAGAGATTCAATACAATAGAAGTCTTCATAGAATTTACACTATAACTACGCCTGGTACGGAATATTAAGCTGATTGTTTTGTAGATAAATCGACTGTGCAGAGGAAGCTGTCGTGAAATCTCTACTGTAGTCCTATAGGGTCAGCTCTGGACTGGGTTAGTGCTGTGTCTTTGTGCTTCCTTTTTGTAATCCGCCCCTCATCTTTGCTGCTATGAAAACCTTCATTCTCCAGCAGGTAAAGTGCTGTCACCTTTATCTTTTCTTCTTCTTCTTCTTCTTTTCTTGAACCTGTCCTCCTCATTTACCTCTCCATCTGTCACCATCTGTCATGACTCCTCTAATGGCTGTGGACTGCTCATCTGCACTGCACTGCCTTGATGTCAGCCATCGCTTTTCTTAAACTCCAGTTCAAACACTCATTCATGCCTGTATTAAAAGTCATTCCATGAGTGATGGAAAACCCAGCAGACCCCGGATTTCCTTCCAGCTTCGACTTGCAATGATATTCCTTCTCTTACTTAATATCTCTCTCTCTCTCTCTCTCTCTCTCTCTCTCTCTCTCTCTCTCTCTCTCTCTCTCTCTCTCTCTCTAAATATATACATATATATATATATATATATATATATATATATATATATATTTCTCTCTTTCTCTATTGCTCTGATTTTTCCATCTATATAACTATTATCCCTCAGCACACTTGGTGTAAATCTTCTTTTTTTCCTCTCTCTTTCTCTCTCTCTGGCTTTCTTTTTCCTCCTTAAGCCTGCCTCGATTGCTCATTGCATAAGAGTTTCTCTCATTCTTTTGGAAAAAGTTTACTGATGATAAATCCTGTTCAGTCATATGAGCTCTTCTCTTCTGTGGAAAGATTCAGTGCTCTGTAGCTCTGTCTGAAATGTGGCTGGGTCAGCTACAGATATTAATATTCATTTTCATGGGCCGTACAGTACTGTATGTATGAGTTCCCCTCTTTCTCTTTTTCTGCTCCCCCTCCTGCCCTTGAATATTTGTATTTGTCATTCCACTGCTGTTGAACTTTGTTTATTTTGTGTCTTCACTGGGATTTGCAGTTCCTGAAACTAAAGAAGTGGTGATCCATAAGTACAAGACTCCTATGGTAAGATTTCAGTATTCATATAGTACTGTATATAGTACACTGTAAAAAAATAAGAAGACCTGTACGTTCCAGTTTTCTTTAATGAGTTTCTTTCTTCTGTTGAACGCTAAACAAGACATTTGGATATGTTCATTTAGCAGATGCTTTTATCCAAAGTGACTTACAAGTGGGGATAAAAGGAGCCCTTCAAGTCATCAGAGTTGCAGTATATAACTAGTATAAAAAGTCCCAGTTTGATTATTTTTATTAATTCTTTTGAGCATTTGGAGAGGAGAGGGACTGTCTCTTCCTGAAGACATTCTGAAGTATATTATGGGTGAAAGCAACCATTGACAATCGTAGAAGGAACACAAAATACTATTAAAGTTAGGGCTGCAAAAAAATTCTCACAGTATTTTCTTTAATATTTTTTCTTCAGTAGAAAGTCTTATTTGTTTTATTTCAGCTAGAATAAAAGTAGTTTTTTAATTAAAAAAAACCTTTTATGGTTAATATTATTAGCCCCCTTAAGCAATAATTGTTTTCTCGATTTCTACAGAATTAACAGAATGCCTAGCTACCCTAACTTGCATAATTAACCTGATTAACTTAGTTCAGCCTTTAAATGCCACTTTAAAGGGCACCGAAAATCATCTTTTTGAAGCTGTTTGGACAGAACTGTGTACTGTGTGCACAGTCATATTGGGATGATATAAACACAATGTCTCTTTTTTTTTATTTCCTGATGTTAAAATAGGTTTCAAATTTCTCCCATTTTTGAGGCCGGCCACATTGTGACTTAGGAGTGCAGTTTCCCTGCCCACCGAATTGATTGACTACCATGTATTAACATGTCTCTGTAGTAACATGTATAATCATATCCACTAGACAGGACGTGCACAAAGCAGCTAGCATTAAAAGATCTGTTTGGCTCTCTGTGATCATCCGTCATCATCACATGTGATCAAGAATGAGTTATACAAGTTTAAATTGTTTTTAAAGCAGTGCATGTTTGTAATGAATTACAGCAAATTTTATCGTCTTTAGCACAACAGCAGCATGTCAGTACAACGATAAAAGAAGACGCTTCAATTTAGTTTTTTTTTGTGGACGTTAAATTTGGTTTATTTTGTACATTAACATAACGAATATCCATACAGCAGTGGATATTAATGCATATCCTGTCACATTTGCCTTGCAAAATGTGTGCGTGTCTGTGTGTGCGCGCATGAACTCAGTAAGGGCATTGTGTGTGACTCAATATTGCAGAAAGGTTTGAATTAACTCCACAACAAATACATCCAATAATCATTGGTAAAGTTCTTACTGTAATATTTCTCACAAACATTACGTGACATCTCTTTTCTTCATGCCTGTCCATTTATCGGATGCAGCTGAGAGCGGAGATTTAGGCACACTCAGACAGGCACGTGGGAACAGTGGGCAGGGAGAAACTAGCATTAAAGGCACAGACAACAAAAATATCTACATTTTGTTTAGAGCAGAAAATCCCAATATTCTAAAAGGTATAATAAATAATTTGATGGGTGTTTTGAGCTTAAACTTTACAGACACAATCTGGAGACACAAAAGACTTATTGTAAATCTTGAAAAGGGTAAAATATGTTTCCTTTAAGCTGAATACTAGTATCTTGAAAAATGTCTAGTCAAATATTATTTACTGTCATCATGGGAAAGATAAAATAAATCAGTTATTAGAAATGAGTTATTAAAACTATTATGTTGAAAAATGTGTTGAAAAAGATCTTTCTGTTTAACAGATATTGGGGAAAAATATACAGGGGGGCTAATAATTCAGACTTCAACTGTATATTGCAAAATGAATATAATTTCACTGGATGACTTGAACAGCTCTGTTTGTAAATATGTCATTCGTTTAGATAGATCAAGATGCTCACTACTTTTTTTATGCAGTGTGTTTAAATAAATTAGAATAAATTACAAGCATATATAAATACAATAGAGCAAAGATGAAAGCAAAATTAAACGTTATGGTCTTCTAGGTTATTCAGTTACAGAAATTCATCAATCAAGCATAAAATAACATGGTCCTCATTGTATAAGTTATTTCAAAATAATAATATTGAACAATTTTTTTGTCTTTTAATCTTTATTAAATAATCTAATCCTGCCATATGACTATTGCGGATACACACATTGTGATATCAATGCTTAAACAATACATTGTGCAGCCCTAATTGAAGTGGATAGCTGTTTTTCCAAAATTCTTCTGAATATCTGACTGTGTGTTTAGCAGAAGAAAGAAACTCAATTTGGAACAAGTAGAGGATGAGTAAATTACAAAAAAATGTATATTTTGGGGTGGACTTAAGGCAAGTCAGGTTTATTTATATAGCACATTTCAGACACAATGGTAATTCAAAGTGCTTTACATAAACAGAAATAAAAGAAACAAGAAAATAAGAATGATTGAAATAATTAAAATTATGATTAAAAAAGAATAAAATGTGATTAAATAAATAAATTATATTGAATCTACTTTACCCAGCTCTATAACATACTACAGAACAGATTTATTTTAGGTGTAAATACTCCTGTGAACTCTTCTGTCTCTACCAGGCACATCAGATCTGTTACTCGGTGCTCTGCCTCTTCTCCTACATGGCGGCGGTCAAGGGGAAAGAGTCAGAGGGCAAACCCAAGATGCTGTCCCCTCGTCCACTAGCGAGCTAGCACACTTCTCTCCAACGTTTACGTCAGCCCTTGCAATACACTCCTGCCGAGCTCCATGTAGATGTATTTGCATTTCAACACATTTGTTGTCGAATAAATGACCCGTCTAAATAATATATCCAGTCCTGTACCTAATGTTAATATTCCACTCCACGGACACAAAATGCTGGCATTTCATTCTCACAATACGGACCAACCAGAATAAGACATTGACGTCCTAAACGAACACTTTTATTTATTGCAATGGGAGTTGCATGCAGGCCTCATGCGCAGCTCTTGTGAGTTGGCACTGGCATGCAGAAACCAGGCGAACCCCCTCTGATATAAGGCTGTGTATTTAATATTTATGTGCTGAGTCGTACTGTAAATTGCAGTCTGTTCTGTCTGTGGTGGGTGAAATGTTCGAGTCTTTACGATCTATCGCTGCCACGTACGAGGGGTCTTCGACGGAGCAGCCGTCCTATTGGTAAATGTCCCGTTGGCCCTCCTCCACCTGCTGTAAGTGTATCTCTTTAGCTCTGCCACGTGACGCTCAAAATACTGTACTAGTTCTGCTGTAAAGTTCCCTGTCTGTGAACTGCTGTGTGAAATTGCATGTCACTTGAGAAAAAAAGAAATCAATATTTAAAAATAAGGATGAAATCTGTACATCTCTGTAAAAGCAAACAAATGCTGAAGAAGCATTGAAAGTGTTTATGGAAAACTGTAGTTTTTTTTTTTTTTTTTTTTTTAGATGTGCAATACTATCGATAGTGGGTATCATGAACAAGTCCAGTGTCCTCAGAGTTCATCCACTGTTCATGAGAGGAAAGCGGCTCAGGCATCGCTATATCATGTTTTCTGTTTGTTTGTTTGTTGGTTATAATGACAGAGCAATGAAAAAGCCACTTGGAGATTTTTTTTGACTAGTGATGGGAAAATCGTGTCCAAAATGTCCTGTCTGAAGTGTCCTCTTCCTGCTGATGTGTGTCTGTGTGTGTTTGTGTGTCTTAGAAACACAGATGGCAAGAGAGTGTGTGTCTGTTCTCAGATCATCTCTTCTTGACAACTAGATCGGGCAGTGCAGCTGTCACATTTACATATTTTAATATTGTTCTTTTATGTTTTTGCTCACATTTTTAATCATTTCGCATCTGTTTTGCGTGTCCATTCAGTTCAGTTGTTGTTTGTGGACTGTAAATGGACTTGAAAAGCCCACTCACTATTGGTTTGGATATGTAAATAGCACAAAAACCGAGTCCAAGTCTGCTGAAACGAATGTTTGGACAGTGGATCGGGTCTGTTGACTAAAAGTGTGCGTGCGTGTTTGTGTGTGTGAGAGAGAGATACAGTTGCACATTATTTGGGCTTTCATTTTAGTCTGTGTATTGTTTAGAACAAGAGGGAAAGAAAAAAAAAAGAGACATGGATGTAAATATTTCAGCATTTAAAAATATTTATAGAACCTGTACAGCTTTGGCAATATGAAAATAAAATATGTCCAACCCAGCTGTCTGGCTGTTGGTGATCTTATTGTGTGAAATGCAATTATTATACAGCGGTCATTTATTAACTTTGGATATTTTCATGCTGGCATTGATTTCATGCTCATTTGCGGTCCAAAATGATGCGGAACCATCACATTTTTCCAACTCGCTGCCGCCTCCTTTAGAGCCCATTGGAGAGTGCCACAGGGCTGTTACCAGATTTGTGGTAACCTTTTCCACGGTTGGGTCCTTGTGGATTTGTTGTAGAGCAATATTATAGAGCAATGTTGAATGGTTTTTCCATTGGCAATGGGCAACAATATTGTATCTGAATCCATTTACCCGGTCTCTCCTGATTGCCCATTGACTGCATCAAGTTGCCCTCTTTATTGTCACATTTTATAGTTTTAAGGCGCAATAACAATAAATGACGATACTAAAGGAGAAAATACTAAATTATATGTAGTTAATACTTTGTAGAAAAGCCTTTTTTTTTTTGGTAATGACAGCTTCAAGACACCTCTTTTATGGAAAATGGAGTTGCTTGATTTGTAATGTCTTTTTTCTTCCTCAGACTTCAACAGTCTAAAGATCTTGACATTTTTGCGGGTCTCCTCTATCAACTAAGATCGTTAGTTCTTATCTTAGGTGCCAAATCCAGTTTCTAGAGGGCTGCAGCTCTTCACAGTTTAGCTTTATTCCTAATTAAACACACCTGATTAAACTAATTCAGTCTTTCAGGCTTGTTTGAAACCTACAGATATTGCTGTAGTCACATTAGAGCAGGGATCACCAAACTTGTTCCTTAATGTCCGGTGTCCTGCAGAGTTTAGTTCCAACCCTAATCAAACACCAGACCTCCAGGAACGAGATTGGTGACCCCTGCACTAGAGTCTGTGCATGCGAAATTCTGTTGTATGGCACTGCAAAAAGGGACGGGATAAAACAAGAAGATTTAAAAAAGCGAGTGATTGGTCAGTATTTAAAATTTCTGTCCAGAGAGGTCATGTTTTGATCTTCGATTGGTCTCTCTCAATCATGTGATGCGATTTTGCAGGTCACAGTTCACCAAGCTTGAACCTTTAGACGCAGCGAACTGCGAAACGTGTCGCACAAGCTTGTGTTTCCGGTCCGACGCATTCACGTGCGTATGAATGGAAGTCTATGAGGAGAAAAGTCCAGTGTGACCGCAGCTTGTATGTGTTGAAGTCAAGCTGGAACTAAACTGTGCAGAGCGGCGGCCCTCCAGGAACTGGATTTGACACCGGTGTTCTACTGGATTCAGCTCAGGTGATTGTCTGGGCCAGTCTAGCAGCTTTATTTTCTTTTCTGAAAGCAGTTGACAGTTTCCTTGTCTTGATTTGGAGTTGTTGTCTTGCTAAAATATCCACCCTGGTTTAATTTTCATCTGGTAATATGGGTGTTGGGACTGAAGCAGCTAATATTCATTTACACTGAGGTAGGGTTGCTGAATAACTACTGAGAGATTTCTGTTGCTGACTTGCCTTTACATGCTCTTTCTATATATATATACATCAAATCATAATCATTGGGCAGAATCTGAAAATGTTTGATGCCCAACCACTGTTGATATTGTCATAATTATTCATTAGGATTCAAACATTTACAAAAAAATCTTCTCATCCACCACCAGTGTGCACCATCCATCTGGATGACACGACAGCAGCCATATTGTGCCAGACCCCACACCACATACTGTACCAGCTGATTGGTGGAGAGGAGACAGCATGATGAAGCCAATTATGATATGAGGATAATTAGAAGGCCATGCTGGACAGAGGTCAGTGGGCAAATTTGGCCATGATTCCGGGGTTAAACCCTTACTCTTTTTCAAAGGACATCCTGGGATTTTATCGACCACAGAACATCAAGCCCTCGATTTAGCATCTCATCCGAAAGACGTTTAGTAAAGCTGAGAATGGATTATCTCATATCTGCACTAAATCATCTAAATCATAATTACTGCCCTTTAGTTCTCATAATCCTTCTAGTATTAAGTTTGTTTTTAATTTTTATTGCCTAAATAACATATTAGCTACATTAAATATGGATGCCTGGTATTATGGGTTTGATCAAATCCATGTATGATAAAGGAATAGGTCATCTTGATACAGTACATTAGAAATGTCTTTTATTGTCAGTTTGGGAAAGAGATCTCTGTCAGACTCTTGCCAAACCATCATAAGTAACACTTCAATTCCAACATATGTTTATATTTATATATATATATATATAAACTCTCCATCAAGACTTCACAATAAAGTACTGTATGTTTACAAGGAGGCTCATCAGAAGCCCAATGGAGAAGGTCATAATCCTGAGCTCGTAGAATATATTATTTACAAAACATGAGCTACATTTGCATTGTTGCTGCATTAGTACAAATTGGCTTTTCTTTAGAATTTCATTCATCCAAAAAAGTCTTTGAGGCGTTTCAGGTATCAAAGAGCTGAATCAGTATACAAGTACTGATATGGTAATCAAATGAACAATTCAGTCTCCATATCAAAACAGAAGTACTTTCTACATCAGGGGTGGCCAAACTCGGTCCTGGAAGGCCGGTGTCCAGCAAAGTTTAGTTCCAACTCCAATCAGACACACCTGGGCTAGCTAATCAAGCTCTTACTAGGCTTTCTTGAAACATCCGTGCAGGTTTGTTGAGGTGAGTTGGAGTTACCTTCTGCAGGACATCAGCCCTCCTGGGCTGAGTTTGGACACCCCTGTTCTACATTATTAACCATAATGGCATAACAGTCCTTAAAATGGGAAAAATACTGACTGTTAAAATGAATAATTCAAACTTTATATAATGAACTACATCAGTGGTTCAAAGTAAACCCATTGTATTAGTTGTAACTCATAGCGTATTTTGGGCAATTGTGCACACATAAGCAAAACAGACAAAATGTGACCGTCAGTTGTGATCATCATTAATATATTAAGACTAACCAAATTCAAAAGTGGCTGCTGGCAAATTGTCCCTTATGTAAAAATAGTAATAAGGCAAAGCAAATGTTTGCACACTCTAAATAAGTGCCTGTATGAAATGAAGACTTCCACCGTCCTCAGAAAATGACTGCAATAATATTAGACATTAAAGAAGAATGAATATCTACTTGGCAAAAATACTTCTAAAATCCAAAGCGGTCTCTAATATCCTGTTTGTAAAGTTATTGTGAAGCCAATAAAAAGCAGAGGATGCCTCAAACATCAACTGTGATTGTAGTGGGGAGAATGAGGAGGAGGAGGAGAGTCTAGCTGTCTCCGCGGACCGTCTTCCGGAGGATCCTGAGACGGGACATGACCTCGTCCCAGTCCAGATACGCTCCTTCTAGATGTCTTAAGTTCTGCCCTCGAGACTGGTAGCTCTTTCGGCCGTGCAGCAGACGCCAGTTATCGAAGGTCACCACATCACCTGCATACAGCAGATCAGATAAAGTCAACAATCTCTTCTTTATTTATACGTGTCAAAACAAAGGTTTTACATCTGTTTTAGAATAACACCAATGTTAATTAATTAATTATGTGAGTAATTTGTTTTTCAATAAATACACTGCCAAAAAAAAGCTTTTCTTACAATTTGCCTTGGTAAAAGTGGGGTTTTCCTTAAAAAAAGTAACATTATCCTGTTTTTACTTTGAAATAAGCTTATCTTGTTTTAATGAATAATACACTTTCTTGAAATTTCTGGAAACAAGACTATTTGTTAATGTAGAAAAATGCTTCTTGATTTAGGAATGTTTAGGTATTTGAAATATAAGCAAGATAAAAACTCTGCACACAAGAAATCTGCGCACATTTCTAGTAGATTTGATGAAGTCAAGTTTGTAACTGGTGTTTAATTTTTATTTTTACTTATTAAGACTCAAAGATTGTGACAAAGGGGATTTGGAGAATCTCCTTTTATCACTATATAGTTTACGAGAAAATGTAAATAGATAGAAAAAATGATCACAATTGTTTTGTTGAATAAATAAACATTGCATATAATTAGGCACAAATCCCTCTCTGAAAACCTTCAGACTGGAATTGAATAAAACCGTGAAGTTTGGTGTACAAGTGTCGACATATCTTCTAGTTGTTTAGGTCATCAAGTCAGTATTTGTTAAAAGCTCCCAGATCAAAGTTAAAGAAATAGGGAGACCAGGCTTTTCCATTGTGTGCCCCCAAATTATGGAACGATTTACCTCTTACTATTAGAATAACCTCTACAGAATCCATGTTCAACCTGTTAGAAAAGGCTTATCTGAGTTATCTGAGCCTGCTGTTTTTATGTATATGCTTTATGTACTGTATGTGGTTTTATTCCTTTAATCTCATTTGATATTTGATATGAATGTGTATCGCCATGGAAATCTACAGACACCAAATGATAAAGTGAAATTTTGTAGGTTCTCTTTCTGTTAGACTGAAAATTGCTTCACGAAAAGCCAAATGTTTTTTAATATAAAGCATGAAAAAAAGTTTAAATCGCTGTTTTCCCCTGCAGTTTCTTGACTTGAAAGGTAAATTAGTTTTAAAAGCACAGACCCAAATTGAAATGCAGAAAAACAATTTTGCAAAAAAATCGAGTGTGACCTGGCTCCATTCTGTAAGTGAAGACATTCTCCGGCCGGCTGAGCAGCTCCACGAAGGCCTTCAGAGACGAGTAGAAGGGCTGAACCTGATGCAGAGGCAGATCCAGCACTGAGTCTCGAGTGGCATTATTATAGTTGATCCTCACAACCCGACCGGATGAGTCCACACTGCATATTACACACAAGATTAAACTTCAACTTAGCGTGAAAATACCAGATGTGATAGTCTCTTCTTCTCTGTTGTGTCTGTCTTCTAAATCATATTATCAAAAAGTAAGTTTAATAAACTTAAATGTGAGCCAAATTAGCCCCATAATGTAGTGAAATGGTAATAGAAAAATACTTCAAAGTATATTACTAGTACGCAGTAGTAGTCAATGTACCTACAAGTTGAAATGAAAGGCAAGTTTATTTATATATCACA